GCCTATTGCCGCAGCTGCACATTGTGCAGAAGCTCTGCCATGTAGCAGCTGTTTTGACCATGGCGGAGGCCATCTTGATGCGTGATGGTCGAACAGCAGATCCTATCAGTATTTGTCAGTTGTGCTGAGATGGGGACAATATGGGACAATGAACATTGGCGAATTTGTTAGTTTTGGACGATTGTGAAGATGGGACGTGACGTACTGATTTTAGTGTTACCGTGCTTTACACACAGTGATTCCAGTCCTCTCGTTTACCCCTTTCATAACCCTGGTGACATTCATCATGACACAGTTTTTTTCCCATGACCATCTGCCAGCCATGAAAATTGCAATGACCGAACAGATTATTATTATCTTTCCCCACTGCCCAGGCTGCCGAAATTGAGGCGTTGGCGCAATCCTCCAAGCACACCAAAGGAAAGCTTCTTGATATTGGCGCGACTCTTCAACAGATCCTTGGGTTGTAACATGGAGTAGAACGAAAGAAGAGTCCAGCGTAGTCCAGCCAGGTTCCGTTATCTGAGGCAATATTTGATATCCTTGTCCATTGACACCATTGAGAAATATGTGGTGGATTTAATAAAATCAGAAAAAGCAATCGTTGCTGCAGAGGCACTCACTCTCAGGAATGGATGGATGGTGCGAACAAAGGGAAAAAGAGAAGAAAGCAAGATGAAAGGAGGGAAATGTGAGAACGGAAACTGTTTAACCCAGAAGAGTTTTCTTTTTAGAAAGCCTACTGTGAGAATTTCCGGAAACCCGAAATAGGACGAGAGAGGAAAAAGAAAAGAAAAGAAAAGCATCCAGCTGCCCATTTCAGTATCCAATGTATCCAGCAGATTCAGTGAAGGCCTTGGACTGGATCAATGTCCTGTGATTGGGGGAGATTTTCTTCTACCGACCCAACCTTAATGAGGCAACCCACTGGGTATGAAATCAAACACGAGGGTGAAAGGGCAGAAATGAGGTACGGTAGTTTGACCAGGTACAAATGGATAAGCTGAAGACAAAGTCTTCAGGTGGTCTCACTGTTTGCCGATCTATGAGAGTACCCGGAGTATGCCATACAGGGACCTGTAGTATGCCGAACATCACAGAGCACCAGCATTGAATGCAGATGTCTAGACTCAGGCAGATCGAAGCTCTTGAACACGCGTCACGCCCTCGAGAAGCCACCCTGGAAGAGCCCGCATTAAAGCGACAACGCCAGGATGAAGGACGAGACGGGGGCTGACTTTGGGACGGGTCTCACATTTGCCAACACCTCACAACTTGGTTCCCTTTTTTGTGACTTAAATTTGTTTTCATTGTATTTCATATCAGTATAGTTTTCCCGACCAGATTCAAGCAGAGGACAAGCTGCAACTCCGTCGACATTTTTAAGACGCTGGGAAAGCAGTTAGGCTTACATAAGTTTGGTCATATGTATTACTGCCACATAGACATACATAGACTATATAATACTATATATTATCAAAGGAAGTTGGGAAGCAATACTTCCGAGTTACGAATGACTTTTACTTGGTGCAATTGACTATGATGAAGGGTGGTAGATCATGTAACAATACATAATGTACCAATACATCACAAAAGAATAAGAAGCAATGAAATTGACCTTGAGGAAGGGTGGTAGATCATATAACAATACATAATATAACAATACATAATGTACCAATACATCACAAAAGAATAAGAAACAATGAAATTGACCTTGAGGAAGGGTGGTAGATCATATAACAATACAGAATATAACAATACATAATGTACCAATACATAACAAAAGAATAAGAAGCTATGAAATTGACCTTGAGGAAGGGTGGTAGATCATATAACAATACATAATATAACAATACATAATCTAATCAAAGGAAGTTGGGAAGCAATACTTCCGAGTTACGGAAGTGGCGACGAAGGGAAGTGGTGATGAAGGGGAGTGGTGAGGAAGGGAAGTGGTGATGGCGGGAAGTGGCGACGATGGGAAGTGGTGAGGAAGGGAAGTGGTGAGGAAGGGAAGTGGTGACGAAGGGAAGTGGTGATGAAGGGGAGTGGTGAGGAAGGGAAGTGGTGACGATGGGAAGTGGTGAGGAAGGGAAGTGGTGGCGATGGGAAGTGATGAGGAAGGGAAGTGAGAAGCGATGGAATTGCTGACGATGGGAAGTGATGAGGAAGGGAAGTGGTGACGATGGGAAGTGGTGAGGAAGGGAAGTGGTGACGATGGGAAGTGGTGAGGAAGGGAAGTGGTGACGATGGGAAGTGGTGAGGAATGGCAGATCTCATCGGAATGGCTGCATGAATGTTGCATGGGCTTTGTTGTGGGGAGGAAGCCGGAGCACGAAACCTTGTGTTTTTCCGTGTAAAGTGGCTGCAGGCGACGATGAAAGGTACCTCGTCTGTGCGGCGGGTGCGGCTGGGGTCGTTTCGTTCCTTCAATGTGTTTTGCAACACTGGATGTTCCTGTGTACGTAGTTCTCGTAGTTCTATGCGTTTCTTGAGTTTGTGTTTGCAGATCGCATTGGAATGGCTGCATGAATGTTGCATGGGCTTTGTTGTGGGGAGGAAGCCGGAGCACGAAACCTTGTGTTTTTCCGTGTAAAGTGGCTGCAGGCGACGATGAAAGGTACCTCGTTTGTGCGGCGGGTGCGGCTGGGGTCGTTTCGTTCCTTCAATGTGTTTTGCAACACTGGATGTTCCTGTGTACGTAGTTCTATGCGTTTCTTGAGTTTGTGTTTGCAGATCGCATTGGAATGGCTGCATGAATGTTGCATGGGCTTTGTTGTGGGGAGGAAGCCGGAGCACGAAACCTTGTGTTTTTCCGTGTAAAGTGGCTGCAGGCGACGATGAAAGGTACCTCGTCTGTGCGACGGGTGCGGCTGCGGTCGTTTTGTGCGCGAATTGTTCCTCCTATGTGTTTTGCAACGAGTGGTTGTTCCTGTGTGCGTAGTTCTATGCGTTTCTTGAAGCTGTGGTAGCAGATCGCATTGGAATGGCTGCATGATGTTGCATGGGCTTTGTGTTGGGGAGGAAGCCGGAGCACGAAACCTTGTGTTTTTCCGAGTAAAGTGGCTGCAGCCGGCGATGAAAGGTACCTCGTCTGTGCGGCGGTTGCGGCTGCGGTCGTTTCTGTCGCGAATTGTTCCTCCTATGTGTTTTGCGATGGGTGGTTGTTCCTGTGTGCGTAGTTCTATGCGTTTCTTGGAGCTGTGGTGGCAGATCGCATTGGAATGGCTGCATGATGTTGCATGGGCTTTGTGTTGGGGAGGAAGCCGGAGTACGAAACCTTGGGTTTTTCCGCGTAAAGTGGCTGCAGCCGGCGATGAAAGGTACCTCGTCTGTGCGGCGGTTGCGGCTGCGGTCGTTTCTGTCGCGAATTGTTCCTCCTATGTGTTTTGCAACGAGTGGTTGTTCCTGTGTGCGTAGTTCTATGCGTTTCTTGAAGCTCTGGTGGCAGATCGCATCGGGATGGCTGCATGATGTTGCATGGGCTTTGTGTTGTGGAGGAAGCTGGAGCACGAAACCTTGTGTTTTTCCGTGTAAAGTGGCTGCAGCCGGCGATGAAAGGTACCTTGTCTGTGCGGCGGTTGCGGCTGCGGTCGTTTCTGTCGCGAATTGTTCCTCCTATGTGTTTTGCAACGAGTGGTTGTTCCTGTGTGCGTAGTTCTATGCGTTTCTTGAAGCTGTGGTGGCAGATCGCATTGGAATGGCTGCATGATGTTGCATGGGCTTTGTGTTAACTGGGGAGGAAGCCGGAGTAAAACCTTGTGTTTTTCCGCGTAAAGTGGCTGCAGCCGGCGATGAAAGGTACCTCGTTTGTGCGGCGGGTGCGGCTGGGGTCGTTTCGTTCCTTCAATGTGTTTTGCAATACTGGATGTTCCTGTGTACGTAGTTCTATGCGTTTCTTGAGTTTGTGTTCGCAGATCGCATTGGAATGGCTGCATGAATGTTGCATGGGCTTTGTTGTGGGGAGGAAGCCGGAGCACGAAACCTTGTGTTTTTCCGTGTAAAGTGGCTGCAGCGACGATGAAAGGTACCTCGTCTGTGCGGCGGGTGCGGCTGGGGTCGTTTCGCGAATTGTTCCTCATGTGTTTTGCAACGAGTGGTTGTTCCTGTGTGCGTAGTTCTATGCGGTTCTTGAATTTGGTTGCAGATCGCATTGGAATGGCTGCATGAATGTTGCATGGGATATGTTTTGGGGAGGAAGCCGGAGCACGAAACCTTGTGTTTTTCCGTGTAAAGTGGCTGCAGGCGACGATGAAAGGTACCTCGTCTGTGCGGCGGGTGCGGCTGGGGTCGTTTCGTTCCTTCAATGTGTTTTGCAACACTGGATGTTCCTGTGTACGTAGTTCTATGCGTTTCTTGGGTTTGTGTTTGCAGATCGCATTGGAATGGCTGCATGAATGTTGCATGGGCTTTGTTGTGGGGAGGAAGCCGGAGCACGAAACCTTGTGTTTTTCCGTGTAAAGTGGCTGCAGGCGACGATGAAAGGTACCTCGTCTGTGCGGCGGGTGCGGCTGGGGTCGTTTCGTTCCTTCAATGTGGTTTGCAACACTGGATGTTCCTGTGTACGTAGTTCTATGCGTTTCTTGAGTTTGTGTTTGCAGATCGCATTGGAATGGCTGCATGAATGTTGCATGGTGCCGCAGCTGTATGCGTAATTTTATTGTCTTTTGCAGCTGAAGATCGTAAATCGTCTTGGAGTGGCTGCATGAAGGCGGCGAAGTGGATTTGTTAACAGATTTTCTCCATTTTGGCGCTAGTGATTTTCCTTTTAAAAATCCTTTTAAAAAGTGCTACAAAATCGTCTTTTTTTCGCTTTGGCGTCGAGATCCGGTTTTGGAGCTGCAGTTTCCGATGCCGTTGCGCGTAATTCTATTGTGTTTTGCAACTGAGTCACTGCAGATCGCATTGGAATGGCTGCGTCAAAGTTGCTTGATGCCGCGGCTGCATACGTAATACTCTTGTCTTTTGCAGCTGAAGATCGTAAATCGTATTGGAGTGGCTGCATCCAGGCTGCGAAATGGCTTTGTCAGCAGATTTTCTCCATTTTGGCGCTAGTGACTTTCCTTTTAAAAATCCTTTTAAAAAGTGCTTCAAAATCGTCTTTTTTTCGCTTTGGCGTCGAGATCCGGTTTTGGAGCTGCAGTTTCCGATGCCGTTGCGCGTAATTCTATTGTGTTTTGCAACTGAGTCTCTGCAGATCGCATTGGAATGGCTGCGTCAAGGTTGCTTGGTGCCGCGGCTGCATACGTAATACTCTTGTATTTTGCAGCTGAAGATCGTAAATCGTATTGGAGTGGGGGCATCAAGGCTGCGACAGTGATTAGTAGTAGTACTGGGAAGTGATTCATGAAAGCTTAAATGACATATGAGAAGAGATGAGAAGAGATGAGAAGAGAAGAGATGAGCTGGGATAAGGTGAGAAGGGCTCAGATGAGATGAAGTGTGGAGTGTGAAGAGTGCAGTGTGAAGTGTGGGGCGTGAAGAGTGCAGTGTGAAGTGTGAAGTGTGAAGTTGTGAGTGTGAAGAAAGCAGTGAGGAGTGAGAAGTGTGAAGTGTGGACTGTGAAGTGTGAAGTGTGGACTGTGAAGTGTGAAGTTTGGAGTGCGAAGAGTGCAGTGTGACGTGTGAAGTGTGGAGTGTGACGTGTGGAGTGTGAAGTGTGAAGCGTGGAGTCTTAAGAGTGCAGTGTGAAGTGTGGAGTGTGAAGTGTGAAGTGCGGAGTGTGAAGACTGCAGTGAGAAGTGGGAAGTGCGAAGTGGAGCTTCACATGTGACATGTGAAGCAGGACACAACTTTCGCAGAGTGCACGCACGCACGGGCTTGGCTGGCGCACGGCGCATGCAAGTTCTATAGATGAGAAAGGTCTTATATATATCTTTAAGGCAACTTCCGCCCCGCCTCGTGCGGGCACTACTGGTATATATATATAAACTCATAGACGTCTAACACGTTTCGTATAATCCGAAGATTTGTACAGTATCAAGTCTAGTCTTAATTCTTCGCCTCGAATATCACTCAAAACAGATCCATGAACCATGCAGTGTTTCAATTGCCCCTCAATTGGACTAACAGACTAACAGACTATGTACTCATTCGCACAGACAGCCCGAAGCATCGACCTTCATTCCGGTCAAGGGATGTCAAGGGTACTACACAGGTTGGACATGGTTGGACCAGGTCACCAGCCGAAGTTGTCATCACTATCACCATGATCATCTCCCATTACATCCATTACAGGTTGCAAATGGTTGCAATATGTTACAATCTTGTCATGAATTGATATGAATTGTGATGATCAAAGTCGATGCTGACAGTGGCTAAGATATTGTTCTCGCGCCGTGCAAGCAAACACACATTGACAGGGAATGGAAGGTTTTTGCACAGCAACTTTTCCGTTTCCGATTCGCCATAATGGGTTCTGCGTATTCTGACAAACGTTTGCCGTGTTTTTGTCTGCAGATGGATGCTCCAGTCCTGGCCAAGAAATACCAAGGTGGCGCGCTCCAAAGTGGTCATGGCCATGGAAATGCGACCTGGCAACCACAGGGAGTAGAATTGATTTTCTGCAGGTCAAAAAGCGGGCGTAGGTTTCTTGGACGTGTACCGTGTCATAGCTCCAGAAACACCTTGAAACTGCTTAGTTTGAAGCATTTTGACGCATCTACTAGTAATTATTGTGTTGAGTTGCAAGAAAGCTTGTTTGTGTTAGTTTCACCATCACAGAACCTCTGGATAGTCCAATGGTGCAAGCAGAATGAATATCGTCGGAGCTAGTCTTGGTGTGGTCTGACTTGCGTCCTGAGTGTCGACAGGCGGGTGTCCCCATGGTGTCTTGTTGCAAATGGTCATAACACAATAAGCAGAGCAACTTTGCACTCAGGTTCCTACTTTACAAGCCAAAGCCGCAGCAACCAGGTGCGCCAAGACAGCGCTTTGATGTTACCTATTGATGCCTATTGCCTGTTGTTGCTCCATGCTTTACCGTAAATGTCCAAGAGTTGGTTTGATGATGTTTGGTAGACAAAAGCCAACATCTTCTTCCACACTGTGATAGTTTTTCATAGTTTTTCTGTATTTGGATTGAATCCGCCGATTTGCACGTCTTGACCCAGCACAGTTGCAAAACCTCTGCCAAATTTGCCGAGGCCTCCTGAGCAAGTTGGTGGCGCAGGCACGAACTGAATGATGGGTGCTAAGCTTGCAGGGTTCCGTTCACCAGATGTGATTCATCTGCGAAGAGTAGGATGATCACCAAATTTCCACAATTCAAACATGCAACATCTATATTCTCATACAATCAGAGCGTGGCCGCAAGCGACAAAGCATGGTTAGCTTTTTTAAGGTTCCAATCAAACTGTCAACGTGTCTGCAAAGATGTTCAGTTCAGTTGCTTTTCCATCATCATGCGTGCAGTTTGTGATATTTTATATATTCAATTTGAACTTACATACAGCTTTTCCTTTACACTCCAATCAGGTCAAATGGGTGTCGAGGTTGGGGTGAGCCACCCCTCCCAGGTATTTGTCCCTGTACGGGATGCAGCATCGGCCCGGTCGGTTCAGTGGATGCCTTTGGAGCGAGGCATTGCTGCAAGAAGTTGTCAGCCTTTGGTCGCTGATGCTTCTAAGACAGAGTGTCAAATGTATCCATGATGTTTGACTTTTTGCTTATCATTTGCAATGTGCCAATGTGCATGCCCTGCTTTCTTGACTGACTGCTCAGTCAGGAATCGGAATCTCTTAAAGCCCATTGGCAGCTTCGACGATGACTGCAGCGGCTCTGGTTGCTCTTGTGGCAACAATGGCTGCAACGGCGGCTGCAGAGGGATGTGCGGTGAAGGCGGCTGTGGCAACTGTGGTTGTTGCCCCAGCTGTGGAACCGGCAGCGGTTGCTGCAATGGTCCGTGCAGTGCCTGTGCCAACTGTGGAGGCTGCAATGGCAACTGCAGTGGCAGCTGCGGTGGCAACTGGGGTGGCAGCTGTAGCAGCAGTTGCTGTGGCGGTTGCTGCGGAGGAGGCTGCTGTGGAGGTTGTTCTGGACCTATTTGTGGCTGCGGTGGCTGCCCCTGCGGTGGTTGCGGGAGTTGCGGAGGTTGTGGCACTTGCGGTGGCTGTGGCTGCGGCTGTGGCAACTGCAATGGGTGTGGAAGCTGTGGCAGTTGTGGCGGTTGTGGCAGTTGCGGCTGCAGCTCATGCGGAGGTTGTGGCGCATGTGGTGGATGTGGCGGATGCGGTGGATGCGGTGGATGCGGTGGATGCGGTGGATGCGGTGGATGCGGCTGTGGTGGTGGCTGCAGAGGGTGTGGCAACGGTTGTAACGGGTGTGGAAGCTGTGGACAGGGGCCTCAGGGCAACCAGGGACAGGGCTGCGGCTGTGATGGAATGAATTCCATGAATCCCATGGCCATGATGGGTCAGATGGCCATGATGAGTGCCATGATGGGTCAAATGATGGCCTCGGGCGATGCCAATGGCAGCTCGCCCAAACAGCAAAAGGATGACGAGGAAGATACGTCGACGTACGGCTCGTCCTTCAACGTCAATCATCCCAATTACCGACCTCCGGATATGGAGCAAAAGCCAGGCATCACAGACAAACGGTTTGTAGGGCGAATCAAATTCTGGTTTGAAACCAAAGGATTCGGCTTCATCGAGAGCGAAGAGTTCTCCAAAGTCTTTGGTGGTGACTCTGATGTCTTCTTGCATCACTTTCAAAAGAGGCACTTCCAAAGAGGTGATCTCGTCGAGTTCAGTGTCTTCACCAATTTTCGAGGAAAACCTCAAGGCAGGGATTCTGTGGGATCTTCAAATTGGACAGTGTCTAGTCTACTGTAACGAGAACTCTTATCCAAGCTGTTTGTTTGACTTGAAGGATATTGAAGGATAATTTATTTGATATATAGTATTTGATAAGATGTGAGACGCATTCCCAGGCGAGGTATGAGGCACCACCGTTGATGTTTGCAACCTTTAGCAGATCTAGGAAGAACAGGGAAAATTAATGAACATTGTTCATTAATGAACATGTAACAGTACAACAGAACCATTTTTGATTTCATGTTGATTTCATTTTGGCCGCCTGACGCCTCCTGAACTCCCTACCTTCGACTACTTATGGAATTTGCTCATACTCAAGGTGTTACAAACATATGCAAGCATATCGAATGACATTGAAATGCTTTGATATGGCTGTAAGATGCTGTAAGACTTGTAATTATCGATAAACCAGCAGAAACATGCAGAAACCATCATAGGAATCATAGGATCTTAAAGAATATCTGAGTGATGGACACACTCTCCTTGTGAAAGATCAACTCCCCAGAGTCCGGCGGTCGCACTTCCAGGAACAGAGCTGAGAAAGGTGAAGCAGTGAGTGGCCCAGTGGCCCAAATGCCTCAAGGTACGATGAGATGCCCCGCAAGTCGCAGCTCCCGGTGGAAACATGTTTGGAATTGTTTGGATTTCTTACGCTCACGTCAAGAAATGATAAGGAAGGCAGTGTTCTGTCCTGTTTGGTTCACAGTTTCAAGTCCTAGATGGTGAAATCTACTTGCGGTGCTCGGGTGTCAGAAAGACTCATGTGCTCAGCTGAACCCAGCTGATCCAATGTTGCGAAGTATGTTTGAAGGTCCAGAAGCAGACCGCCAATTATCGACAGAAAAATCATGAACAATCCAATTCAATGTGAGCCGTGAAGGATCAGAAGTCTGGGTTAAGGACCCCCAATGGAGTTATACTGGATTCTCTCAGCAAAGTTGGATGGCCTGCAGCAACACCTGCAACAAATGAACAACGAATTGATGGAGAGACAGCGTTTATGATGGCAACGCACCGCCTGAATCATGAATCAACGGCTAGCCATTGGATGCAAAACTCAACACGGGAGATAGTGCGTATGACAACTTGCTAAACCCATCTAAACCCTATTCAATCCTATCTTCATGAAACCTTCTAAGATCCTTTTAAGATCCTTTCAGAACCAGAACCTGAAACACATTTAGAAACATTTGCAGCACAGGCAATGCGACTGAGGTCGGCTCACGTCCTGTTGGAACTGGTGCTCCCAGATCGAAAAGAAAGCGTGCGACCAGAGACCGACCCTTCACCAGACTTCTGAACAGACTTCTCAATCTTTGATATGTTCGCGCAAACATGTGCACACCAACTTTATCCAACTTTGGTGAGATGCACGAAGAAACGGTTCCCATGTCCATGTCCCATCTGTTCCCATGGACACTATCTACCAACAGTGGGTCCGCTTTGTTCCACCAAGTCATCTTGGATTTGTTTGGATCTCCTTTTTCGGGCTTGGATATGGATGGATATGGGATGACAATGGATGACAGTGGTTGGATGTTGGCAGATGGCCAGGTACTTCCCCTGCTTCCTCCTGACTGGCTTCACTGGTTTCGATGGTGGTTTCTCCACTGGCCTCGGGTCGTAGCTTCCAGACGTCGGAGCTACGCATTTTCCAGGAACGGACAGAGGCTTCTGAAGCCAGCGATAATACCGCTTCAGAATACTTGAAAATATTTGAAAGTACTACTATATATATAATACTATATAGTATACTTATATTATCTTATATTCACATCTTAAAAATGCAGAGTAGCATGTCCCACCATATCCCTTAACCATCTCAGTAATATCATTGGTATGTAACAAGTACATTGACATGTTGATATCATGCTGCATCATTGGGGGCAGAATCTGTAGCCGAGACTGCGAGCATTTGCGATGCAAACATGAAACCATCCTGGAATTAGCGACCAGAAAGAAAGAAACGACATGAAATGGCTGCAATGCATGGAGTGATGGTAGCCTCAATAGACCTCATGCTGTAGAAGCGATTAGTCTCAATCTTGCACTTTGTATTGTTGGGGTCAGGCGGTCGAAATGCCTTGGAACGTGCTCTTCAATCCAATCTATTCTGTACTTGGAGTGGTGTAAACTGAGCTTGCCATTTCGTTTTGGCGTTTGAGTGCCACAAGCCTAGACTTGACAGTTATTATATGTTATTATGTGTTATTAAATAAAATTGAAATAAATTGAATATGTATAATATGTTTCATGAAGGGTGTTTGATGGTGTTTGACAATGTTTAACAGTGTCTCCCATATCTATGGCCGCCATTCCTTACAGTGATCCAACTGTGTCTCTGCTGCAAGCTGTTGCTCACGCTGTCCAGCGGTCCGAATTGTGGCCACTGAAGATCACTGAAGTATGAGACATCATTGAATCAATTTTTGAATCATATTGAATCCAGCAATCATGCAGTTCAGTCGTAGATTCATTGAAGGGCAAAGCTGCCTAGGATCTCAAACATTGGCTGACATAGGCTGACGCCACAAGACAGGTCAGTTATCGTTGAGGACAGCACTGACCACCCAGAAGCACAGTAGATCACAGTAGATCACAGTAGCCCTGACTTGAACCAATTTTGACCAATTTTGACCACGCGGAGATGTTGACAGATATCATGGCCTGAGGCGACTCAAAAACTGGCGGACAGTGAGTGTTTCGGATGAATGTCAGTGGCATATTTTCATCATGTGAAGGAGCAGCGGGGCCGTACATATCCGTACATCATATGTAAAACGAACTCAATCAATATAGGGAGGCGTTACGACATTGGCATTCCCAGACATAGCTGACATCCACACAAAGAGTAAAGAAATGAATGCGAGTAGGGCCTTAAATCTGGGTTTTACCAAGAGCAGCCACGGGGCTACCCAAATAATCCCAAACCGTCAGGGTCCTTGCTTGGTCAACTTGGTCATTGAAAGTCATCAAAGCAGTTCTGCACCAATGAGATGCAGCAGGCGGGCCAAGCATGGGTCCAAACTCTGGCGGTGGTCGCGCTCAGCTCAGCGATCAAGTCTTCATACCTGTAGTGCGGCTGTGAAAGCGAAAGATTGAAAGAGGTGAGGTGGAACGTTGGCGCTAACAGGAAGAAAGATGAAGAAAGCTTGACTGGTTTGGTTTGCTTTGTGCAGCCTCGTGAGGCAGGAACCAAGGGGCCTCCAATGTTCCCACTCGAGCTATTTTCAGCAACAAGGCCACTAAACCGTCGAGTACACCGCACAAGACCATTGCAGGGTGGAATTCCAGTAGAGCTGCGAGTGTGTCTTCGATCCTAGAGCTGTTTGTCTTTCGAGGTTTTGGAATCCGAAACTGGATGCGTACTAGACGGCAGTATATTGGCGTATCCTGTACAGTAGGTCGTTGTTTCATGATAAGGTTGCAGTTGTGTCAACAAAATCATGAAGATGCAGATGCAACATAGCATCCACGGCGCCAGGAATATGTATAATATATATATATATTAATCATTATCATTCTATATTTATTTATGATATTTTATGATACTTCATGATCCCCCGGAATTGCAGATCATTGATCCATTTAAATTCGGCTCCCGTCAAAGCCCCACAAAAAATCTTCCGCAACCGCAGGGGCTCGCCTCCGGCAAGGGAAAGGTCAGGATCCCAAAGTGTCAGAGCTGATGCGTTTTCAATTATTGATTAGTGGCATGGCAGACTTTATCCCTATTCGCATTCATTGATTTTAGAGTCTGGCTCCCCCCAGCTCTAAATTTTGATGCTCTCTCCTCAGTTCCACCTGGTGGCCCAGAGTCAGGATGGAAAAGGCAAAGAGAAGGGCAAGCGCGAGCCGCGGCAGAATTTTCAGTCTCAGAAAGAGATGGACAAGGCACATTACACTGCACTTGCCATCATTGTCCAACATGTCAGAGACTGCCTACAGTAGGGTCCAGTAATGAGAAACCACTGGGTCCATCATGGTGCATTGGATGAAGAGACAAAGACAGTACAACCGAGTGCATGCTATAGTCTGCATATATAGTCTGCATATATTGTCTGCTATAGAAATAAGATAAATTAGCGAAGTGTTCAGATTGTCGCACTCAGCATGTTTGAGCTATCTCACCTGCCGTCGTGCTGACATGCTCTGAGTGACATGCTCTGACGAGGCCAAAGGCAAAGGAAAGACTTCCAGCAATCTCTCGCCAGCCGAAGCACACATTGCGGCGGCAGCAGCACGTGCCAGTGGTGGGATCCAACAGGAGCCCTTGCGTTGATGTGTGACCTGCATATATTATCTCCTTGAAAAATATGTCAACACTGAACAAGTGTTTTCAAAAATTCAAGAATGGCATTACTGCATACTACTGGTCCTTTTGTGGCGCTGTAACTGTGAGGAAGCCATCTCGATTTGGGAACGGGGCGTTGATCCATCTTACATCCACGGATGCTTCTACTTGACACGCGCCTTGGTGCATTTTTTCCATATTGTGGAAACAGACAAGGACTTGCAGCTGCGATGCAACAAATACAGCCCATTGCATCCTACAAAGAGGAACAATGACGGATGTCTCCTCAAAAAGTGCTGAACACATCTGAACACATCTGAACACATCTGAACACATCTGAACTGCTGGTTGAACAGCTTTAACTTAGGCTTTAAGCGAAAATTTACAGTAACTTCTCTCCATCTCACAATGGGAAGCTGCGAAGCGCTGAGGGGATGACCACTTGGCCTTGGAACCTTTGTTAACCCCGCTTGCAGAGGCCGTGGAGGTGCGCATCACGTCATTCACGTTATTCAGTGGCTTTATGAATAGTCTGAATATGTCTGATTGAACCAACGGCAGAGCCACCATGCAACCATTCTTCATCCATTCTTCAACCATTCTTCATTTGATCTTTAGTGCGCTCCCAGCCTTTCAGCCTTACAGCCAGATGTGAAAGGCGTTTCTTGACATTGCTTGACTGTGATCCAAACTCTTCAAACTCACCTGATGTCCACAGCGGCAGGTTTGTGATGTTTGTGTCGAATTTGGGGCAGTGGTTTCTCAGGAGACAGTGGAGCAACTATCCTCAGACACTGTGGAGACAGCTCAGGACCCAACAGCTGTGCCGATCCTCCACAAAGTGGAACAATGCGGAATAATATGGAATTTAGAAGTCCAATGTCGGACGGGGCAAGACGACTTGTCTGCATAAAGGGATGTCGGATGCCTCAGCTCGAGTACAAATATGCCCCCTGCAGGATCACTTGAAGGAGCTGGGCTTCCAGTCCTCTCAATCCAATACCGAACTTTGCTTGCAAGCAGTGCAGTCAACCGGGAACATGCAAAATATGCAAATGTGGTCGGTTTTTACGAAAGCCAGCCGATAGGCTAGGCAAAGTTGTTTTCGCGAACGAAGTGAGTATAGGGGGTGTGGGGGGTGATATTGGGCGGTGATTAGGGTGGCCAATTGGAATTTTTTAGGGGGGCATGTGCCACTAGGCAATTTGGTGACGGTGGGATTCGATTCTCCCTAGGTCCCTTGAAAACGGAATGAAAAAGGTAGGAAAAAACGAAGGAAAATGAAGAAAAATCGTGAAGAAACAAGAGGAAAATGGAGGAAAATGGAGGAAAACTGTGAAAAAAACATTAAAATGGAGAAAAGAACACATTAAAATGGAGGAAAAAATGAATGGCAAGCTTAGAAAAACCAAGGAAATCGAGGAAACCGTTGGGAAAATGAGGAAATTGCAGGAAGGAAACTCTGGAAAAACCGTAGGAACGCAGGAAAAGGTTTGAAAAAAAGGCATGAAATGGAGGCAAGGTAAAGCTTTGAAAAAGCTAGGAACATAGAGGCAAGCATATAAAAAAACTAAGGATCCGAAGCTCAACGGAGAGCAGCGTCCGTTGGGGTTCGGAGCAAGACGGTTTGCAAGGGGATGAGGGAAGAGTTGCTGGGTGAAGAGTCTCTGGGTGAAAAGTATATGGGTGAAAAGTATATGGGGGAAAAGTCTATGGGTGAGAAGTATATGGTTGACTCGTCTGTGGGTGAAAAGTGTATGGGTAAAAAAAATGTGCAAGAAGAGTTTCTGGGTGAAGAGTCTCTGGGTGAAACGTATATGGATGAAAAGTATGTGCAAGAAGAGTTTCTGGGTGAAGAGTCTCTGGGTGAAAAGTATATGGGTAAAAAGTATGTGCAAGAAGAGTTTCTGGTGAAAGCTATGGGTGAAAAGTAGTGTGTAAGAAGAGTTTCTGGGTGAAGAGTCTCTGGGTGAAAAGTATATGGGTGAAAAGTATGTGCAAGAAGAGTTTCTGGGTGAAGAGTCTCTGGGTGAAAAGTATATGGTGAAAAGTATGTGCAAGAAGAGTTTCTGGGTGAAGAGTCTCTGGGTGAAAAGCATATGGGTGAAAAGTATGTGCAAGAAGAGTTTCTGGGTGAAGAGTCTCTGGGTGAAAAGCATATGGGTGAAAAGTATGTGCAAGAAGAGTTTCTGGGTGAAGAGTCTCTGGGTGAAAAGTATATGGGTGAAAAGTATGTGCAAGAAGAGTTTCTGGGTGAAGAGTCTATGGGTGAAAAGCATATGGGTGAAAAGTATGTGCAAGAAGAGTTTCTGGGTGAAGAGTCTCTGGGTAAAAAGTATATGGGTGAAAAGTATGTGCAAGAAGAGTTTCTGGGTGAAGAGTCTCTGGGTGAAAAGTATATGGGTGAAAAGTATGTGCAAGAAGAGTTTCTGGGTGAAGAGTCTCTGGGTGAAACGTATATGGGTGAAAAGTATGTGCAAGAAGAATTTCTGGGTGAAGAGTCTCTGGGTGAAAAGTATGGGTGAAAAGTATGTGCAAGAAGAGTTTCTGGGTGAAAAGTATGTGGGTGAAAAGTATGTGCAAGAAGAGTTTCTGGGTGAAGAGTCTCTGGGTGAACAGTATATGGGTGAAAAGTATGTGCAAGAAGAGTTTCTGGGTGAAGAGTCTCTGGGTGAAGAGTATGTGGGTGAAAAGTATGTGCAAGAAGAGTTTCTGGGTGAAGAGTCTCTGCGTGAAAAGTATATGGGTGAAAAGTATGTGCAAGAAGAGTTTCTGGGTGAAAAGTATATGGGTGAAAAGTATGTGCAAGAAGAGTTTCTGGGTGAAGAGTCTCTGGGTGAAAAGTATGTCGGTGAAAAGTATGTGCAAGAAGAGTTTCTGGGTGAAGAGTCTCTGCGTGAAAAGTATATGGGTGAAAAGTATTTGCAAGAAGAGTTTCTGGGTGAAGAGTCTCTGGGTGAAAAGTATGTGCAAGAAGAGTCTCTGGGTGAAAAGTATATGGGTGAAAAGTATGTGCACGAAGAGTTCCTGGGTGAAGAGTCTCTGGGTGAAAAGTATATGGGTGAGAAGTATGTACAAGAAGAGTCTCTTGGTGAAGAGCCTCTGGGTGAAAAGTATGTGCAAGAAGAGTTTCTGGGTGTAGAGTCTCTGGGTGAAAAGTATATGGGTGAAGTATGTGCAAGCAGAGTTTCTGGGTGAAGAGTCTCTGGGTGAAAAGTATGTGGGTGAAAAGTATGTGCAAGAAGAGTTTCTGGGTGAAGAGTCTCTGGGTGAAAAGTATGGGTGAAAAGTATGTGCAAGAAGAGTTTCTGAGTGAAGAGTCTCTGGGTGAAAAGTATGTGCAAGAAGAGTTTCTGGGTGAAGAGTCTCTGGGTGAAAAGTATGGGCGAAAAGTATGTGCAAGAAGAGTTTCTGGGTGAAAAGCATATGGGTGAAAAGTATGTGCCAGAAGAGTTTCTGGGTGAAGAGTCTCTGCGTGAAAAGTATATGGGTGAAAAGTATGTGCAAGAAGAGTTTCTGGGTGAAGAGTCTCTGGGTGAAAAGTATATGGGTGAAAAGTATGTGCAAGAAGAGTTCCTGGGTGAAGAGTCTCTGGGTGAAAAGTATATGGGTGAAAAGTATGTGCAAGAAGAGTTTCTGGGTGAAGAGTCTCTGGGTGAAAAGTATGTGAAAAAAGAGTTTCTGGTTGAAGAGTCTCTGGGTGAAAAGTATATGGCTGAAAAGTATGTGCAAGAAGAGTTTCTGGGTGAAGAGTCTCTGGGTGAAAAGTATATGGGTGAAAAGTATGTGCAAGAAGAGTTTCTGGGTGAAGAGTCTCTGGGTGAAAAGTATATGGGTGAAAAGTATGTGCAAGAAGAGCTCCTGGGTGAAGAGTCTCTGGGTGAAAAGTATGGGCGAAAAGTATGTGCAAGAAGAGTTTCTGGGTGAAGAGTCCCTGGGTGAAAAGTATGTGCAAGAAGAGTTTCTGGGTGAAGAGTCTCTGGGTGAAAAGTATATGGGTGAAAAGTATGTGCAAGAAGAGTTTCTGGGTGAAGAGTTTCTGGGTGAAAAGTATATGCGTGAAAAGTATGTGCAAGAAGAGTTCCTGGGTGAAGAGTCTCCGGGTGAAAAGTATATGGGTAAAAAGCATGTGCAAGAAGAGTTTCGGGGTGAAAAGTATATGGATGAAAAGTATGCGCAAGAAGAGTTTCTGGGTGAAGAGTCTCTGCGTGAAAAATATATGAGTAAAAAGTATGTGCAAGAAGAGTTTCTGGGTGAAGAGTCCCTGGGTGAAGAGTGTGTGGGTGAAAAGTATGTGCAAGAAGAGTTTCTGGGTGAAGAGTCTCTGCGCGAAAAGTATATGGGTGAAAAGTATGTGCAAGAAGAGTTTCTGGGTGAAAAGTATATGGGTGAAAAGCATGTGCCAGAAGAGTTTCTGGGTGAAGAGACTCTGGGTGAAAAGTATATGGGTGAAAAGTATGTGCAAGAAGAGTTTCTGGGTGAAGAGTCTCTGGGTAAAAAGTATATGGCTGAAGAGTATGTGCAAGCAGAGTTTCTGGGTGAAGAGTCTCTGGGTGAAAAGTATGTGGGTGAAAAGTATGTGCAAGAAGAGTTTCTGGGTGAAGAGTCTCTGGGTGAAGAGTCTCTGGGTGAAAAGTATATGGGTGAAAAGTATGTGCAAGAAGAGTTTCTGGGTGAAGAGTCCCTGGGTGAAAAGTATATGGGTGAAATATGTGCAAGAAGGTTTCTGGGTGAGAGTCTCTGGGTGAAAAGTATATGGTGAAAAGTATGTGCAAGAAGAGTTTCTGGGTGAAGAGTCTCTGGGAGTTTCTGGGTGAAGAAAAAGTATATGGGTGAAAAGTATGTGCAAGAAGATTTTCGGTGAAGAGTCTCTGGGTGAAAAGTAATGGGTAAAGTATGTGCAAGAAGAGTTTCTGGTGAAGAGTCTCCTGGGTGAAACTGTCGCAAGAAGAGTTTCTGGGTGTGAGAGATCTCTGGTGAAAAGTATAGGGGTGAAAAGAATGTGCAAGAAGAGTTTCTGGGTGAAGAGTCTCTGGGTGAAAAGTATATGGGTGAAAAGTATGTGCAAGAAGAGTTTCTGGGTGAAGAGTCTCTGGGTGAAAAGTATGTGTGCATGGGCAAAAGTATATGTGCAAGAAGAGTTTCGGGTGAAGAGTTTTCTGGGTGAAAAGTATATGCGTGAAAAGTCTTTCTGGGTGGGTGAAAAGTATATGGGTAAAAAGTATGTGCAAGAAGAGTTTCTGGGTGAAAAGTATATGGGTGAAAAGTATGTGCCAGAAGAGTTTCTGGGTGAAGAGTCTCTGGGTGAAAAGTATATGGGTGGAAAGTATATGGGTGAAAAGTATGTGCAAGAAGAGTTTCTGGGTGAAGAGTCTCTGGGCGAAAAGTATATGGGTGAAAAGTATGCAAGAAGAGTTTCTGGGTGAAGAGTCCCTGGGTGAAAAGTATGTGCAAGAAGAGTTTCTGGGTGAAGAGTCTCTGGATGAAAAGTATATGGGTGAAAATTATGTGCAAGAAGAGTTTCTGGGTGAAGAGTCTCTGGGTGAAAAATATTTGCCAGAAGAGTATAAAAGTATATGGGTGAAAAGTATGTGCAAGAAGAGTTTCTGGGTGAAGAAGCATATGGGTGAAAAGTATGTGCAAGAAGAGTTTCTGGGTGAAGAGTCTCTGGGTGAAAAGTATGTGCAAGAAGAGTTTCTGGGTGAAGAGTCTCTGGGTGAAAAGTATGGGTGAAAAGTATGTGCAAGAAGAGTTTCTGGGTGAAGAGTCCCTGGGTGAAAAGTATGTGCAAGAAGAGTTTCTGGGTGAAGAGTCTCTGCGTGAAAAGTATATGGGTGAAAAGTATGTGCAAGAAGAGTTTCTGGGTGAAGAGTCTCTGGGTGAAAAGTATATGGGTGAAAAGTATGTGCAAGAAGAGCTCCTGGGTGAAGAGTCTCTGGGTGAAAAGTATATGGGCGAAAAGTATGTGCAAGAAGAGTTTCTGGGTGAAGAGTCTCTGGGTGAAAAGTATATGGGTAAAAAGTATGTGCAAGAAGAGTTTCTGGGTGAAGAGTCCCTAGGTGAAAGTATATGGGTGAAAAGTATGTGCCAGAAGAGTTTCTGGGTGAAGAGTCTCTGGGTGAAAAGCATGTGCAAGAAGAGTTTCTGGGTGAAGAGTCTCTGGGTGAAAAGCATATGGGTGAAAAGTATGTGCAAGAAGAGTTTCTGGGTGAAGAGTCTCTGGGTGAAAAGTATATGGGTGAAAAGTATGTGCAAGAAGAGTTTCTGGGTGAAGAGTCTCTGGGTGAAAAGTATATGGATGAAAAGTATGTGCAAGAAGAGTTTCTGGGTGAAGAGTCTCTGCGTGAAAAATATATGAGTAAAAAGTATGTGCAAGAAGAGTTTCTGGGTGAAGAGTCCCTGGGTGAAAAGCATATGGGTGAAGAGTATGTTGAAGAAGAGTTTCTGGGTGAAGAGTCTCTGGGTAAAAAGTATATGGGTGAAAAGTATGTGCAAGAAGAGTTTCTGGGTGAAGAGACTCTGGGTGAAAGGTATATGGGTGAAAAGTACGTGCAAGAAGAGTTTCTGGGTGAAGAGTCTCTGGGTGAAACGTATATGGGTGAAAAGTATGTGCAAGAAGAGTTTCTGGGTGAAGAGTCCCTGGGTGAAAAGTACGTGCAAGAAGGGTTTCTGGGTGAAGAGTCTCTGGGTGAACAGTATATGGGTGAAACGTATGTGCAAGAAGAGTGTGAAGAGTCTCTGGGTGAAGAGTATGTGGGTGAAAAGTATGTGCAAGAAGAGTTTCTGGGTGAAGAGTCTCTGCGTGAAAAGTATATGGGTGAAAAGTATGTGCAAGAAGAGTTTCTGGGTGAAAAGTATATGGGGGAAAAGTATGTGCAAGAAGAGTTTCTGGGTGAAGAGTCTCTGGGTGAAAAGTATGTGGGTGAAAAGTATGTGCAAGAAGAGTTTCTGGGTGAAGAGTCTCTGCGTGAAAAGTATATGGGTGGAAAGTATTTGCAAGAAGAGTTTCTGGGTGAAGAGTCTCTGGGTGAAAAGTATGTGCAAGAAGAGTCTCCGGGTGAAAAGTATATGGGTGAAAAGTATGTGCAAGAAGAGTTCCTGGGTGAAGAGTCTCTGGGTGAAAAGTATATGGGTGAAAAGCATGTGCAAGAAGAGTCTCTTGGTGAAGAGTCTCTGGGCGAAAAGTATGTGCAAGAAGAGTTTCTGGGTGTAGAGTCTCTGGGTGAAAAGTATATGGGTGAAAAGTATGTGCAAGAATAGTTTCTGGGTGAAGAGTCTCTGGGTAAAAAGTATATGGGTGAAAAGTATGTGCAAGAAGAGTTTCTGGGTGAAGAGTCTCTGGGTGAAAAGTATATGGGTGAAAAGTATGTGCAAGAAGAGTTTCTGGGTGAAGAGTCTCTGGGTGAAAAGTATATGGGTGAAAAGTATGTGCAAGAAGAGTTTCTGGGTGAAGAGTCTCTGGGTGAAAATTATATGGGTGAAAGGTTTGTGCAAGAAGAGTTTTTGGGTGAAAAATCATTGGGGGAAAATAGGGGTAGATGGGATGTTGGCTTTCGTTCCCCCTTCTCAGGTATTTTTTTGATGCAATGCACAATTTGGAAGGACAGTCCCCCAACAGAACCATCTAAGGTCTTTCAGGATTGTCAGGCTATCTGCATGACACTGACTGGTTATTCGGCCACACAGTCGGTCCAATTTGAGGCACTTGGTGTGGTTGGTCCACGGTTGAGCAAAGAATGCCGTGAGCGAGACCTCTCCGTGACAGACAAAGCAGCGGCCGAGATTTTCGTCTTTGCAAGTTGGACAGGTGGTCAAAACATGGGTCAATTGCGCATGTCGGGGAATGGTCATCAATCCATTAATAGGGAATACTAGGATATAAAGAGGGATTTATATAACCAGTGTAAAGAATCACTAATTTGAGAATGAAAGGTTAAATATTGAAGTGCTATTGGCAAGTCCAGAGATCTTCCAATCACCAAGGAGAGCTTTGGAATATATGTGCTGCACCTCCGCTGAGGGTGAGCTACCCTCCAAGTTGTGACTTGACTTTCGAAAGTTCCGCTCAATATATCGAAACCAATTTTGTTTTGGGACTGTCACACACACACACACACACTTGACAATGAACCTCATTTTTGGAGCCTAGAAGATGATTTATTTACCAATATGATCAGCTATCAACGCTCACGTTGGTGGTGAACCCGCAGCGATGCGGATGGTTAGGAAAAGAAAGGACCCTGTTGCGTTGTTGAACCATTGTTTCGCCACACATGAACAAGTGTACACCGATTGGATCCGATTGCAGATAATGATACGCAAGGTAACGATTTGTACCAAATCCAAGATTGCTCGATGACTCCATGATGCATATGTATTCAATTATTTTACTGTAGATTAATAGAATACGTATTACAAATACTGTATAAATCATAGCACATAATATCCCGCTGGTCTGGGAGATTTGCCAGGCGAGAGCCACGTGAAGTCACTGCAGCGCGGAAGCTTCAAGAGGAGCGGAACGTGTCCTTCCAGACCAAAGCAGCTCGCTTCATTTGGCACGGGTCAGCCCTCATCACCATGCCTCACCCCCCACAGAATCTTCATTCCAGACATGCTGAAGTGAAAGCGAGCCACTTGGAAAGATCTTTTCCCACTCGTACACACTTTTACTAATATTATCTCATATGATACCATATTCACATTTATTCACATAATATATATTTATATATATATATATATATTCGCATGATTATAGTTGTCCAGTGCTTATAGTTCAGAAAAGTGTGCCACGCATAAGCGGCTTGTACATCCTATGCTAATACAGGCTTCAGGTTAACGTAGCCTGAATGACACTTGGTGCCCACTGTTTTCGGTTTGAACTTCAGAAGTCTGGCTTTTATATATAAATATTATATATATATTATATATTATATATATTATATATATTATATATATTATATATATTATATATATTATATATATTATATATATTATATATATTATATATATTATATATATTATATATATTATATATATGTCTATCACTGGGCCCCCTTGCACACCAATCCATCAATTGAGGCGTTGCTACAGGGCGGGCAAATCGATCCTTTGCTGAACAGTGCTTTAAACACTTGTGGTTTGTGGTTTGCTGTTTTCATTTGTATGGGATGTATGCAGGTATGAAAACTTGCGATCAAGCATCTCTCACTTCAAAACCATGTCGAATTTTGCCGCAAACATCGCAGAGTCAGGCATGCTACAGGTTGCATGGTGACCCACCTATCTGAGGAGGGTACGTTCATTACACGAATCGAGTTGCGAACTCAGATCTTTGTTTGGGGTCAAGTGTGGAATTTTAGCATTGTGGTTTTTATATTACAACACTTGCATGTTCTTTGCCCGGCCTCAAGCCATCGTCTACATTGCACTCCAAACGGTTTGAGTGATTTTGAGTGTGACACCGCCTTCTGCAAGCCAGGAAACTGGGTTTCAGCCGTGCGAGAGCAATCCAGGCTTTGGGGAAGAAATCACACCTTTTCAGAGCTGTTCACGCTTTTTCACACTATACATCATCCATCATCATACCGAAGGTTGCATATTTGCAGCAGTCTGCTCATGTACTGTTCCTTCCAGGCTCTCAAGAACTCTTGTGGTTCTCCTCTCATATCCTATTACAATCTATTACATACACATGTCCATGCATATGATATCATATAATATATTATTAGAACAGCAATAAATATTATAATATATATTATATAATATTATATAGACATTAGATTTGGCATCCAAACTGGTTTGATTAGATGACGCAAGGCCTTGGCTGAAGCTCCCGATCATCAACTGCTGCCAGCTGTGTATCTTGCATCAAGATGTTTCGCGTTGGAAGATCATACTTCAAGGCAGCAGTGTTTGATGTTTTGTTTTCAAAGACGTTATTTGTTGTTATTTTGTTTTGATGTCTGTTTTGAAGAATTGGGGGGGGTAGAGTGTCATGATGTTCCGCTGTCGTTCTGTTGCTGGCCGAATTTGGGGCAATGATGGGCAAATGATTCAACTGTCAAGTGTGATGGCATTTCTGCCAAGGAAGTCGTTGCTTTCCGAATTCCTGCCCTTGGATCTTCCACCAGGCAAGAAAGACAGGTTGTACGGATGGGCAGGGTGCTGTTTGTTGACCTGCGCAATCACACGTGTACCCGTCCTGTTGACAAGACAAAGGACGGATGAATTCCCAAACTCAACATGCGGGTCAAACATTGCGGAGAAATAATTCAACTCAAGATTCGTACAGTCTTGATGTTAATGATAACATGATTAACATGTCTTGACATCCCTCCCTTGATACTGTACGACCATGTCGCAGCCCAGTGCCTCGTTCAATACTTGTGCGAGGATCTTGTATACTGAGTATACTTTAAAGATCTTTAAAGTATTCTGTTAATGGAGTCTGTGCCAGATCTCAGATCCACCAGGATGTTGGAGCCACAGCCAGCCTGCAGGCGTAGATGCAGATTCGGTTGTACCTGCTTCTGCAGAGGAGCTCAATGATGAGATAGAGGCTATGCGCAGCATCTACGGCTGGAAACTGAGAACTCTAGTGTATCCATGGGTCCATGGGTCAGAAACTTCGCATCAAGGTGCATTGATTTATACTGTTCATGTTTGTTGAAGGGAAACTTAAGAGTTTCTCTGGAAAACAGCTTGCTAGCCATGTCCATCATGTCTCCATCAATTATTGTTTTGCGAGTCTTCTTGCGACTCCATCTGCAGTGTCCTGTCATTTTGCAGTATGACCCTGCGATCCTCAGCATTCCGAACTCCCCAAGATCCTCTTAGCAATCTTAGCATCTCTCAGCAAATTCCAGTCGAAATACCACGCTCCTAGGGGACGATGAAGTGCAGACATTTGGCCAGGCCAGTGGGAGACGTGATGTCTTCTTTTGGACTCCAAATGAACATGACACTGTATATAGAAATATAGAACGATCCTCTCCAGAGATGATCATATATAATACCTATATAATACCATGATACCGATACCGGATACCCATAATCCCTACACAAGAAGGCAAATGAAAATTGCGACACCTTGTTGTCAATACTTTTCGAATCTTTCAATAGTTTCCTTTCTTGTTTGCTGCTTGCAGGGCCATGTCATAGATTCAAACCATGGGTCATGGTTCTCAAACCTGCAAGGCTGCGACCAAATCGTACAACATTGACCTCATACGGTCGCGCACGTGTTGGTTAACACCATACCAGTAGACATGGCAAGAGGATGGAAGGGCTCGAACATGTTTCAGGAGTCATGGCTGTCCCAAAATGAGGAATACCATGGGCTACCTGAAAATGGCAATTCTTGGGGCACTCAGTATAGTATGCATATGTATGCATAGTAATCAACAAATTGTTCAGATGTTTTCAGAACCAAAGTGGCAACCCCATGACCATGACAACATTTGGCCTTTTCGATAAGCTCATTACCGTCACTACCGTCACTAGCGTCACTAGCGCCAGGCTGGACTTGATGGCTTCGAACTGCTGGTGAAGCTTCCAGCTGTCAGCGGCGGTGGCCGGTCCGGAACCTAGCGGCCTAGCGGCTCCATGCGGCTCCATGCGGCTCCGGCAAGACTTCGAATGTTGAAGATCTACGCCGAGTCTACGCTTTTAGAATTGGCTGAGAAACTAACATCATTGTAATATATTGTAATGGTAGAGGTGCCGGTGTAGAGTTGATTTTGTGTGCCTGTGCGCACGTGCTTGTGTGGACACGAAGCGCTCCGACAACGTTGACATTTCTTCACATTCTTCTCTTTCTGCACGGATATGCTGAGATGCTCCATGCCTGCCACAAGTAGGAACTGAACACACTATATACTTGCACTATCTTGCACTCAAGTGCGGCCGATGGCAAGGATCTCACTACGGATCCCAGTCATGATGCAGAATTCCTGACCATGGCCATTCTGTTGATGACACCGGTAGAACTTCAATATCATTCGAACACGCATAGGGCTGGGGTAGGAAGATATTCAGCTCCATGCGCAACCGCTGAGGTGGACTATGGCTTTCATGCAGCTCGGTGGCAGTCCCCCCAAACTCAGGGCCTTGAACAATCATAGAAATCTTAGTTGCTGCAGACATCTCAAAGATGGCAACTGGAACTTCTCCTGATCCTCTCTATTCCCACTCCAAAATTTACCAAGCATGTTCAGCAAAATCATATGCTCTTGGTCAGATCAGGAAATGTGAGTCAGTTTCAAAGATAGCACTGTGCAGCTTTGCCCACCTGGTTTTCTTGAAATCTGCATACTGACATACTGAGTTTGTACTGATGAGCCACATGTCAGAATCCAAGGATCCCAGGTGGTCTCTTGTATCCGCACGTGTCCCCATTGTTGTGCCCTCGGTCTGACACTCAGAGAGTTCAGTAGCTGTCACAGATATGAGGTCATCACCTCATAGCCACTTTACTGATGAAAGAAAGCATTGAGAGCATCATGAAAGCATCATGAAGGCATCATGAAGGCATCATAATTCCAGGCGAAGTTTAGTTTCGCTTGCTTTCACAATAATTCCATGCGATTGTCTATGATTGTCTCCAGGCATGAGCGTTTGCGAGAGGCCAACCGTCCACGGTTGATGGAGGCAACAGAACGCACTGCATTTTCGACTGAACTGTTGGCAAATTTTGAAACCAGCATCCAGCACCACCATGCACCACCCAGGGTACCCAGATCCATCCAGATCCGAGATGTTGGGGGTGTCGGAAACAATCGGAAACATGTCAGGCACTTGGAGAAATCTGTCAGCAAGCGCTTGGATCTCCGATGATTTTCATCCTTTGCCACTTGGCGTAGTTGAGATAGGTCTTCCACAAGGGCAGAAACTCGCATGTCCAAGGAAAGGCAGATTGGAACCATTTGGAACCTCCTTCATCCAAATCAAGTGCCGATAGAATCACACACGCAGGCTGCGGCAGCTGCGATCGATGACCATGAAGCATATTAATCATATAATTCATGTACTAGATCTTCTTGGTTTTCCAGTTTTTCTCTTGAGCTTACTTGGAAAGTCAGGCTCTAAGGACCCACAGACCAATCACCCACAGACCAATCAATTGGCATTTGGATATATTTCGATGCTTTATCCCATTCCTCAAGCACTCCACGTAGCACTGGAGCACAGCAAGGTGAGTGGTTGCAAGAAAATGGACCTCGTTTCTTGGTGCGCGGGGAGGTCGAAAAGCAGGACTGCAACCCCCTTGTCTTCGTAGCTTGCAAGAAAGCATCGCTTTGTAGCTGTGCTTCTCGTTCCTGTCACCAGTGTGATATCACGTGATATTGTCGTCCTCATTGTCGAGCAATTTCACAGTCTGGAAAGGAGACTCCTGACTCAGAGGCAGTGCGTATATCGCAGCGTGACAATGCGGTGAATCGGGCAATGGAGGAATCTCAAGCCAAGGCTGTTACCCCGGGATGTGCTGGTACCATACACTTTGAGCCCAGTGCGTGGAAAGTTCGTGGAGGGAAGACGCGCCAACCTATTTGGTTTGTTTTGTCTATTTGTTTGTTTGCGTCTTTTTGAATTTTTTTGAAGGCATATCATATCTATTGATCCTCCTGCATGTCCAGCGTGCAGAGAAAATGATCTCGGTGGAATATCATGGAATATGTAGAATATGAATGAATATGAATGAACATGAATGAACAAAGAATGAACAAAGAATGCACATGATGTATAGAAAGTCCGTTGCTCTCCGTTCCAAATCAGTCCTGGAGTAGTTACCTCGCTGCCAAGGCGCAGCAGGATGAAGAGGCTGCTTCTGAAAGATCAAAGAGATGCGAGTGACTTGGCAAACAGTTGGCCAAACGGAAACAGGAAATCCTTGGCCAAACTTTCACATACTTTTTACATACTTTTTACATGTTGAACACGGATTGGAGTGTTTTTCCCCAACAGCAGCGTTTGTTGGGTTTCAATCTCTGGGTCTCGGTGGTGCATCACGGATGCAAGGCGCTTCTTAACCTAAATGGAACCCTGGAACCTGTAACCCAATGTAACATTTGACTCTCACAACAAGTCCAGTATATACCTCCCGCATGCAATACTGTATGGCGCCATATCAAATCGCAAGACCAGGTCAAAGGCCATTTTAGGATATTTTAGGTACCTTAATTGGAGGTACCTCCCATATGTAAGGCCTATGTAAGGGCATGTAAGGGCTATGTAAGGGGATATGATATGCCCCATAAATATGGCTTTACATGGTACAGTACCTCCATTTTCGGGTCCTGAAATTTCCACTGATCAGGGCAGTCATATTGAATGATTGAATATAATTTACAAGTGTACATGAAGCATGTTAAAGGCTGAGTCATGAGTTGTCGAACGATGTGTGGTGGTTCAACAGCTGTTGTTGTTACATCCCTCGACGCTGGCAAGGTATTTGCAGCAACTGATGGCAGAGGAGCTGCCAACTGCTAGGTACATACTGACTGGACATCCAACTATTGCGAAAGAGAGATCACTGTTTCAAGTCTCCAATACCCAGATGAAACTAAAGATGTCTAAAGATGTGTTCCAATTCTCAAGTTGCTCACTGGCCTTCAAGTTACTGCTGAGGCATACTACTGCACTATATTTACACAATGACAATGTGTGGTTTGTACTCAGTGATTCAATTCAATGATCACACTTCAGCTGCTCAAAACGGAGCCTCTGTGGATCAAGTCCCTGAGAAGATCAAGGGCCGGGAAATCGAGACATCCCATCAGCACATCCATTTGCGGCCACTTGGCCGCCTTGGCGTGCGGTTACTTTGTGGCTGTTTTGACTTGGAATTGCATGCTGCTGAATGCTGCTGAATCTTGCACCACTCTTTTGGATCTTTTGGTAGAGCAGCTGTTTTCTTCTTCTTTTGAACGACGTGTGTTTGCTTGTTTTAAAGTTTAAACACAGCTCGCATTCGCTGTCCCGAGGACATGGCAGATCAATCTGGTCTGGTCGCTGGTGATCCAAGCAAACAATGGGTTGCTAGGCAGATGTTGGGATTTGAGACTGAACAATGCTGCCTTTATTTTCTCTTGCTCTCGTCTTGCGTGAGAGTGGCTCAATTATTATTCTGCATAGTTTCTCACTGAAGCCCAAAATGAAACAAGTTGAAAAGTAGTGTGCTGGGCTGCCAATCTCCACACTTGAGGCTCTTGTCAATTTTTGTTCGAAACTGGGAAAAGGATGCCAAGAACACCTTCTTTTGTATGAATGAACGACAAATTGCAGAAACATGCAGAAACAAACAACAGGTCAAAAATGTCCAACATGTCAAAAAGGCATCATAGTTGACAGCTGCATTGCGGTTTCATGTTTTTGCCGAGGAGTGGCATGAGGCATACAGAATCTTGACCTGTAGCAGCGCAGATGTGTTGCTTGTGGACCGATTCGCGATTAGGTCCTGTCTTTTGCAGGTCAAACGGATGCACCGTATGACATGGTTGTTGCATGTTGTTGCATGTTGTTGCAGCTTCTCTTGCGGTGTCTCAGGAGATCTCTTCAAGAACATGTATCGTACTACATATTCAGCAGCTTGGATCACACTGGTGGTGAAACCAAGCCTTGAACAGTTCGTCCAAGATACTCGCAAGATGTTTCTCATGGCATCATGGTTTCTTCAGGATATGTCGCATGGCCGGGAGACTTATGTCAGGAGTTTCTTGGTAGCATTTGGCAGTATTCCAAGAATATATCATAATATATCTACATGTCCATTTCTAGCAAAGTTGCTTCGCTACCGCAACTGGGGTCTGGCTGTTATGACTTTATGACACTTTATGCAACTGTCCAAACTCTGGGGCCTTGCGGGGCAAACCTTCTCTGGCCATTGCGACCATTGCCTTTCCTTCATGAGGTGATTTCCCTGCGGGCTATGGCGGTCACTGCCCATCCATCCGCTTCGATATCCTTCATCGCAACACTGCTTTCGACAGGAGAATCACTGAATGGTTTCATTCGAAGGGTAGATTGACATTCAACGGATTCAACGTTCAAAGTTCAGACTGAATGTCTTTCCAATCTTTCCAGGAAGATGGCGCTGCTTCGCACTGACCCGAGCCGTGATGCGTTGGGCACCTAGTAATCAAGATCATCGCATCATCATTCATGACTATCGGCGTGCGTTTACAACAGAATGACCTTCCTTTGAAATGCAGAAAGTTCCCGGTGTGGCTCTTCTGAAGTTGTATGATTTGAGATGAGGATGCCTTCCTTCAAATCCAACTTGGATGGGGTGCCATGGTATACAAAGCACCCCTGTGGCGCAAGAAAGAACCCAACCAAAGGCCCCTTGTCTAAATGGTGGACAAGCCACTGATACGCAGTATTTGTTTGGATCGGTGTTGAAAGCTTGCATGTTAAAGCACTGTGCAGATCCATGCTGCATTGCTTTGCTGAATCCGAGGTGTTGTTCCACACAACGGTACTACAACAATGCTGAAGCAGCTTTGCTGGAATCAAGAGAACCTGAGCCTGAAGCATGTTGGCATTCATAGCAATTGCTCTTGTCAATACATGGATATAGAGTTTCCTATTTAGACTTGATGGTACTCACGAAGACTCTGAGCTTGAATAGACATCACCCTCATTCCTGCTCTTGTCCACCTCCAAGAAATCAAGAGGGCAGCTGCATTTCCGTGTCAAGGCCACCATGGGGAATTCTGACTGGAAAGCGCGATCCCCTGACAAGCCCTCAGATCAAACCTATATCATCCGTCATGGAGTCATGCAGGACTGCAATCTTGCAGCCGCTCGGAACTCACGAATGGTGACATCGTTCGATGCACTGGCAGACTCTACCGCTGCACTGAGGAACTACCGAGCAGTGCCAGCAACAATGAAACGCCAGCTGCTCAAGATGCCTGTTCAAGGAAGATCTTAACTTAATATTATAATATATTATAATATATTCTTAAAGCCTATATTGCTATTGTCACCAAAAGATGGGCAGGTCAGGGTTGAAATGGGTTGAAATGGGTTGAATCATGTTGTGCTTGTTGCTGGGACGCCCTGGGACGCAAGGTGCATTGTCCTCCCCGGCCTTGGGCGAACGCTCAAACTTGGCTGCTCGAAATGACCCTTGGCCAAGTCTTTGCTTTAGCAACTTTAGCATTGCACATTTTTGCAAAAGAACAAGTTGCAAGTTGAAGACTACTGTAGGGCCTTTCAACGCCTTTCAATGCCTTTCAATGCCCTTTATTCATCAATCATGTTCATTTTTCATCCCTTTAACATTGCAAAATTGCAAGCCGTGAATCCGGCGTGGATACTCAGGCGGGCTCCCTCATGGCCGAGTCCAGCAGCGCAGCGCAGCTGGACACCGAGGGTGTCAGTGAGCCACGAGAATGGGATGAAACATGATGAAACATGGAACATGAATATGACATGTATGACATATGACACTATGATACACTATGATACACTATGATACACTATGATACACTATGATACATTATGATACACTAAGATTCACTATGATTCACTACTAACATGACACACCGTCAGCTGTTGTTTGGATCAAATTTAGATCTTTTCAGACCATGTGCAGATCCGACTGCATTTCGTGTTACTCAGTGACTGTCTGCTCCATGGAACAGGGTTTGCTGCAGTTGCAATGTTTGGCAGGAGGCACCTAAAGTGGATTCTCCAAAACCCAACATGTGCCTTGTCTGAAATGGTAAGACAAGGATTCTGATGTCTGATACTCTGTTTGTTCCAGCAATGATTTGAGACATTCGAATGTCAAGGAAGTAGGCCATGTTGAGGCTTCCGCCATTCTATCAATTTGATTCAATTTGTATGTGAGGGATTTGGTTTGAGCTTTCAAATTTGAACGGCAGCGGAAGAGTTCAAAGAGGAACGATTGGACATGACCCTGAAACTGAGACGCTGCATTTGTTTTGACAACAATAGCTTTTAACTTTTAACAATTGTTCATGACGACGACTTGACGTCTAGATCATGATCATGTTTGAACAAATCGTGCCCAAATTTGATCAAATTTGAAGCTTATTTGAAGCTTCAGGCGTTGGGCTGATGAGAGTCAGGCCAGTCAATCATCTTGAGACGTCGCTGTCTTCACACTTTCGTTGAGATTGTTTGAAAGAACAGTTACAGGAGTGTTGATGAGTGTTGTAATATGTTGTAATCGAAGTGAAGCTAGAGATCACGAAATCTGTTTGCGAACTTGATCCTGCAAAGACAAAGATGGACAAACTGCCCAGTAAATTTTCCCGGGTCATTTCCGGCAGGATGAAATGGGCCGATCTCACATGCTGGAGCAGAGCCAGAGCATTTGATGCTCCAGTGAGTGTGGCGTTCCAATGGAGTCCTTCTCGTTGTGCGGCCAACTCGGTAGACACACTAATGAGGTGGATACCATATTTTTTTTTGTTTTGATGTTTTGATTTGAAACTATATAGCATATAGATTACCTGCAGATGCACCTGCAGATGGAGTTCCTGTCTCTTTCCAATCGAAACGTGAAGGACCAAAGCCATCGGATGAACAACAGATGCAAATTGTCTCAGAGGTGAAATTGACGCAGTTCATGCCTGCGAATACAACAGTGGACTTGGGGAACATAATATATCAATATATATCAAATTATTTGATCAAACAGCTTGCGGTGAAATATGGTAAAATTGTTTCCTGGGTTATCATGTGTGATTGATGTCGTATTACCCCGAGCCATTGTGTCCGGTCTCTGATGTGACCAGGACATGGTTCCTGAACTGTGGTGGCGTTTCACCTGTGACACATATAGAAAGCTGAATCGAGTTTCCCTATCTGTAGATACTAGATTCTAGATACCATGGTATTTTGACGTAGTACACCGATGCGCGTTCCACCATTTGGAGCAACTTTTGTTTCAGACTGAAAGCTCGTCGAGGTCATGGAGTGTCACTGGAAGCTTGCAGTCTACAAGACGCGAGTATCCACGATTTGAACACCTTGTCACTGTTTGCGACCGCACGAAAAAATATTCAGTTTGTTTTTACAACCAGAAGAGTTGATTTTTGTGAAATGAATGACGAATTCATGCCTTCGTACTACATTATGCCGTCTTTAAATTTTGAATCGCAGTTGATGGGCAGTTCCACATTTCCTGCACTCTTGAGTGTGATTTGAGAATATTTGAGATGATTTGAGTATGCGGCTTCTGGATCCTTCTTTACAAAAAACTTAAGGTAAATACAGGTGTCCACCAAGGTCAACTGAAACAAAAAAGGGATACTGTAGATTTACTTCAATTTTCGATCTTGATTGCTTTCATTCATCCCATGTTACATGTCACCATTGGCACCCGTCCTCCGAAGAGGAATCCAAACCTAAAGACAAGATCGCAGCGGAAATCCGTGCCACTCCAGAAGCTGGGACTTGTATTGGCCACAGACAAGTCTCACATGGACGTGAACAAGCCTGGATGAATATATAGCCATACATAATAAATACATGATATACATATATATATATTACATATATAATTAATATGATAATGATAATATATGATATAATACATATATACATACTAGAATTTATGTGTATTAATATTTCATACATTAATATACGTATATAATATAAATAATTATTATTGTTACTATAAATAGTACTATTATTATTATCTATGTGTATATATAATAATGATATCTAATAATTATAACAATAATAATATATACATACATTATATATAATATACAGATTATTATCATTATTGCTATTATTATTGTTGTTTTATAATTAATATATATATATATACACACATATGCGCACCGCAGAGTGACACAGAGTGATGTGACAATTTTATTTATAGCGGAGAAGTTTGCGAAAGATACCAGGGTTGTGTTTACCGGCCCAAGATTTGTACATCCTGTTCAGTCAAATCTCCTGGTGAAACGGACAAGAAACTGCAGGACCTTGGTGAAGTAGATATTTCTCTTGTAAACTTCTGACCAAAGCATCACAACAGCACATCACGGATGTTTCTACATTCTAGTCATGTTACGGTACGCAGCCTATGCTGGCGCCGATCGCATCCAACTTGGAAATACAAGAAGCGAGGGGAATCAGACAAGTGATGCTTTCAGCCTTGCTGCGATTGCCGCCAAGGAAACTGCGCAGTTTGATCTCGCTGGCTACGACGAGCCACAGGCTCCAATCCAGACCAAGAAACCAGCACCTACTGTACATTCCCATTCCGGTTCTGGGACATCATAGACTTCGGGGCACAGTCACATAAACATGTTCAAACCCATGTGATAGGTTGCTTCAAACACTTTTCTGAGGCTGAATTGGAGATGTTTTTTCTTTAGATAGATCATCTTACATCACTTTCATGGCTTCGCACTCAAGAACATGCCCACACATAAATGCACAAGCAGCTTCAATTGCCGAAAAAAGTCAGCAATTGCAAGGTCAAAGCCTTGGTCAAGGAGGCTTTTGGAACACCATTTGACATCAGCAAGATGATCAGAGCCAGGGACTCAGTAGACGATGCTTCGGCTCCTCGAATGAACAGAGGAAAGTCGTGCTGCCTGCGCATTGGTACAAGGAGCTTGCTGCCAAGTTATTCAAGTGCATCGACAGACTCTGTGATCATATAATTTATTCTAATTTCATATTCATACTTGTTCATGGTTGTAAGATGTTGTACGTAACATGACATGTCTAACCTGCCTCCTTGCTATCAGACCCCAGTCAGCAGCATCCCCCAAGGTTACCTTCATCGTTGGAGGAGGTCGATGGACCGGGAGCTGCTGGTGAAACCCAACCGCGGAAAAGTTGAACATGTGCAGGACAACTACTGTAGTGCAATTCCAATCAGGAATTTCACCAAAAAAGGGGTTCAGATGGTTGTTTCCTCTTTTAGCAAATACCTAATGTACAGTCTGATACCAAAAGATGTATCAGCGTATGATGCACACGTGTCTTTAAGAAACTAGCGTCTTCACAACATTCTATGGCAAGTAGTTAGTCTCGCTGCTTCTTCTTCTAGCAGTAGGTGGCAAGGAAAAAGATTGTAATCAATCGCATGTCAGTGCATCAGGACATGTTTCCTAAAGCTGCTCGTGTCAAAACATTTCAAAGATTCTGCGCCCATGTCACATGTTTACACTCAGATGGAGAGAGAAAGAGAGAAAAACAACAACAAATAAAAACATGAGAGAACACCGCAATGGAGGCAAAGCGATCCGTGGCAAGTATAGAAACTTGGCTTGCATCTGATGCATCAGGGGATCTCAAGGGATCTCCGGGATGGACCCGAGAAGAGCATCATCTCATTGCAAAGACATGCGAAGACATGGCACAGATGGATCAGAGCGGGGGTTTTGGTGGTTTTTGAGGTGAGAGCCTGGCACGAGTCTTCGGAACTGCCTTGCAGGACAGACCCAGCACTGAAGCTCAAGTTGAAGCTCAGCACAAGCTCAAACAGTGCTCGTATTCCAAGATGATCCAATTCCAAGTGAAACAGGATTTGTGAAACAACTCCGAACTTGGATCCCTTGCCGGTGCATAAGTATTGGTTTGGTTTGTCGAGTGCACTAAATCGAAGGCATCTGCTTGTTTGACCACCGGGAGGACTTGGGCTTCAACCAAGACTCTGCTGCAAGCTGCGACTTGATGAGTGCTGGGAGCTTCAAAGGACAGCATGAAACTCGCCACCAACTGGTTGCATTGAAGTGGCCAACTGGAGCAGGGCAAGCAATTTGCCTACAGCATTGTATCATGTTGTTTCGGCTGCTTTGTTTGACTTATGATATGATCCTTTGGGTAAAGGTTCAACATGATTCAACATGTACAAGTATATAATATTATATAATTATTTGACTGTTTGTTGCAATCGCTGATCTCTGCATCTAAGGACACACAACGAAATCTGAAGCTTGTGCATGTGTTTCCAAAGGCAGTGACATTTTCAGGACTGTTGAGTTAATCGGGCTGTTTGTTTTTCTTAAATTGTTCTGAAACATTAACTCATCATCGCAACGCCACAGTTTTGATTCTGATTTTCTGACATATTAATATACCTATTATAGATTGATGTCAGCTGTCAGCTTCATCCTTGGAACGCACTCTCAAAGCCACCATGGGTATAGTCTGCAGGTATCCAGCTACCATTTAGCAGCTGTCAGAAATTGTCGAAAGCATCCAAACATATCCAGACCACCAGCTGCTTCGACTCATGGTAGCCGATCCGACAGGTGAATGCCAATGGAATTGTTGCACCGCGATCTGGAGGCAAGCCCAGTGCTGCAAGTCAGCAGTGACTTGGTCCACTATCTAGCAAAAAATAGAGTGGACTTGGGACTTGGGACTCAACTCTTTATATACGTATACGTATATATAATTATATAATATTAATTAATATTATATATATATATAAATATGCATTGAATAATATACATTATTACAGTATGCAGTCGTCGTTATACGCAATTAAATATGCACTAGTATTAATATATATATATATATACATACATACATATCATATCTAGTAAATTAATGCAGGCGTTTGACGGCGTTTGATTTTGTTTGCACATGTTTGCACCTCTCCTGCTTTAGTGGGAAAGAGCAGCACCATGCAACACCTGACTCAGTCATTGTTGGTTCAACATAGATCAACTGAGAGCTTCGATATTTAGGGGTTGTTGTTCAAGATCAATAGCGATTGGTGTAAATCAAACTATGCCCAGGCAAACAAACATGTGCTGTGAAAACTTAAGGGCGATTGGCAGGACCGCCAAACTCCGATGCATACTGTAGATACAAACTGTCGCAAGGAAACTTGAACAGAATTTACCACGAAAGCTAGCTTCCGCTAGCTGAAACCTCTCATGCTTTAGCAAGGTATTGGCAGGGGCTGGAATCATGAAAATTCACACTCAACTACCCCTCCCCGCCCCCTGGTTTTTTGCTCTCCACTCTCCACTTCCTATCTCCCCTTTCCTCACACACCGCTCTTTCACCGCACCTTCCTCCTCCCTTTACCTTCCCAGCTAGCTTTCGTCCCTTACCCTTGGCCTCAAGTATGTCTTTCCTTACCGAACACCTAGCACTGGAAGTGAACCAGAGGATGACTGCATGCGCTCGAATGAGAGAGGTGTCCTTTGACTTTGCAGTCTCCTGTTTTGACCCAATTGTCATCAATTTTCTTTCATTAGCAAACAGATTTCATGAACTTTCTCCGCTTTTGTCATAGGACCTGAAACTGTCGCAGAGACCTGCCAGCGCGTTGGGTCCTTAGCGAAATCGTTCGGGGTTGTTGTGTTGCTGTTCAGTGTTCGAAATGACAGTCTGTCATTCTGGTGTCTCCAATGTGGAGTGGATTGTAGAGTTAGAATCAGTTCACGTGATCATGAAGGGACTGGTCCCTTGTTGCGTGGCATGATATATACAGTAATGTATTATATATACACACTTATATATCATTATATCCTTTGGCGCAAGAAAGCTAAATAATTGGCTGAAGTTGAACAGATTTGCAATCCGCCAACATCTTCATGAGCTCTACCAGTTTTGCCTCAGCTTTTATTGTCGTTCTGTCCAGATGTCAAAAAAGGCAATGAAATCAGATACTTGGAATTTATCCTCCTTATTGCTTCCACCGCTCAGATGATCCAATTTCAGTTTCAGTCTTCATTGTGTCTTGTTTGACAATTTGAGGTAGTCAGTCTGCCGTGGACAGAATTCGTGGAGGAAGTTGGCCCTTGGATTCGATCCAGAGATTCAGCCAAGATCCAGGCAGCGACAGATGGTGACAGATTTAGACGATTCAGCGGTCTTCAAGGGATCCCCATGGATACCCCCAGCAGGCCTTGCTGGTTCTGCTAGAAGAACTACTGGAGGAACTGCAGGCCTGGGCCATCCTGGGCCTGAGCGTTTGAGAACGGGGAGTTCCTTTAGTTACATGGCAAATTCGTGTCCTTTGCATCATCAACCATCATCAACCATCATCAAATCTATCAATGTCTATCCATGGTCAATCCAAATCCAAACCATATGCCCTGCGGATCCCCGGAAATCGCTGGAGGAGACGGAGCTGTCCTTCCAACAGGGCAAGCAGGTGTCCGAGCCACGGCGAAGGCGCACGGAGCCCAGTGGATAGCTTGGAGGAGCTGATCACAACCTGATGACATGAACTGATTCTAACCTGATTCCAACCTGATTCCCAAAGAACCTATCCTTTTAATTCTTTTTACATACGTTTTACATCTCAATTGCGTCTGCTAAGAGGTTCCGCAGACCCAAAGATAACTTATCAGGTTTTGAAGACATGTTCTTGTTAGTTTTCTTTTTGTTATGTTCATACATTTCTATGTCAGCCTGCATGAAGACATCCTGTGAGTTGTGTGCAGCGGCTAGCAACATGCAGGAATGGGAATTCAGAAATCCGGCCGCACCCAAGGGTCAACAAGGCTGTAAATTAAGCAACATCGAGAAACACCAGGGCTTTGAGGAAATGGTTCCGAGGGTCGTTTGGATCAAACATCAACGCATCAAAGCTCGGGGGGGATTATTTAAGCAGTTCTACTTTGAAGACTGGACAGAGCTGGTCCACCCCAAGGATATGACGAATTTGGAAGCTCTGATGAAGTTTCTGAGCGGCTTCGCTGGCTACGTGCGGACTGCCAAGATGGTATGCCACACACTCTCAATTCTATCCCTTTTGGATCCTTTTGGATCCTTTTGGATCTTCTGGTTTGTTGAACCAATACACTCACAGAACAGAGGAAACAGTAAGTGGGAAAGTTCTATGGTCTTTGTTGCAGTCATTTGCATTTATAATTTGGACTGTGATGCATGGTGAACAACCCTTGCGTCAGATGAGGCAATGGCCTGGAATCTTCCCAACAAGTTACTGCCTTCTGCTTAGCTGTCTAAAGTTGAGGAATACAACACATTGCCATGGGTAGCGGAGGAATGATACGTGCTACAATGTGATACGATGTTAATTATGCAGCATGATTTTGTTTGATCATATTTGATCACTTTCAAAATCTGAAAGGTTACTCGTTTGATCTCTTTTGCAGTTCCTGTCATGGCCTGATCTGAAATCGCCGTTGCATCTGACATTCGGTCGTCCTGCATGCCTGATTCATTGATGCTGTTTCAGCCAATATATAGAGGACTGCCTTGCTCATTAAACATCGAGAATTCACAGCCTTTGTGATCGCAATACATTACCTTTCACCTGAACTCAAGCTGCAGTTCCCTATGAAGTCTTGTGAATGCTTTCTGAGTCACTGCTTTCATGAGTCACTGCACTTTGCCATTTTTCTATATTTTTCTCAGCATCTAAGCCTCTAGACAAACTGCCTTGATCCTCAACACCGCAGTCACTGCAGGTCAAGGCGAGTGAAGGTGATGTTGATGGGGCCACACTCGCCTTCGATGCCCCATCGTTGACAACTCGTTTGCAGGAGGACGGGAGTGACGAAACGAGAGTTTGTCACATCTCCTTGCAGATCTAACAGCCAGCGCAAAAGATCGCAAAGGTTTCTATGACTTTGACTCTCTATGCAAGTCATTGCAGGTTTCACAAGTTGAGGCCTTGCTCAATGCCCACTATGGTCTCCACAGGGGCTAATCAAATGTATGGACCAGTCATGCAGGCTCCGCTGCCTGAAGCTTCTCAAGGTGCCCCAGACTGGGATAGAAGGGCAACAGACTCAGGCACCAAGATCACTGCAGTGCTTGCACCTAAGTGAAGCCAAAAAAATCAACCAACACACATATAATTTACATATATATATTATAATAATATATAATACAATATAATATGTGTATATATATACACCTGCATTGCATGCATATAAGAATGCATCTATGATGCAATGCTGCAATGCAAACCACTGCAGTGCAACAGAACACAATGCATCACGAAAGAGCAGAATGAAATACAACACGTCACAACCATATCTAGACCGGTACTCAAGCATGCAACACTTCAGATTTGTACATACAATGAAATACCTACTACTTGTAGTATGAGACATGAATGCAAACAGCGGCAAGCACACAAACGGGCATCGATACGTACGTACATGCATCCCATGCGGAGAAGAGCTTACTTGAAGGATTCGGACTTTGTAGGAATATGGTTGAGTATTGATGTGTCAAACATGCTGGGACATATTCCCTTTTGTGAAGGTACAGAGGAAGTCAACGATGATCTCTGGCTTCAACGCCGGCTGGAACAGACTAGGAGAGCAGGGGAAGACTTTGGTCTGCTACATTCCAATACTCAAGCACGTACAGGCACAATTTTCTCCATGATAGGGTTGCATCCTCGATAACATATGTGATGACGTGCAGTGTCACCCACCCTGATGTAGAGCAAGGCTGGATTTCGTGCCATGTGTCCGAATCCAGGAACGAGAGTGACAAGCTGAAGAAGGAGCTTTCATCCAACCGGCCTTTGCAAGCAATACGTAGCCTGTCCGCCATTTTGTGTAGTTCCTCTAAGCACCACCAAGAAGATGAAAACCAAATAAGAAGAACAAGAAGTAGGAGGAGGGGAAGGAGGAGGAGGAGAAGGAGGAGGAGGAGGATGAGGAGAAAAGAAGAAGAAGAGAAGAAGACAAGAAAAGAAAAGACAAAAAGAAGAAGAGCAAGCAACATCAATAACTTGTCAATAAGCAATACCGATTTGCGTTTCCATGAAAAAAACTGTTAAAAACCAAGCCATACCAAGCCGATTGAAATATCAAGAGATGATACCATAAGGCATCATAAGGCGACAACATCAAACATTTCCATGTCAGCAGCCAAGCGCCTCTACAAACATGGTCTGCAATGCAATGCATTATTGCGCACTCCTTTGCTCTGCATTGCATTTGCCAGCACAAATTTACCACGCGTCATAGACGTAGAGAGAGCTTCTGAAAGAAAGATGAAGAAACTGCAAGAACACTGCTAGTTTCACATTGGTCGCTGTATCAACCCGAGTCATGTTTCGTAGGTCTTGCATGTTCAGACTCAACGTTTCATTGGGAAAAGCGTCGCTGTCGGATACGAGGCGAGTCGTTGCCAGCTTATGCACAGAGGTCTGCGATCCAAGAAGCAGTCTGGAACTCGATCTGCAGTGCGTGCAGTGATTCTGTCTTCATTGGCTAAAGACTTAGTCAAGGCATCAACGGCACTTGTCCTATACTTGCAGGTGCAAGATTCGCCTGTGGTGGTAATTGAAGGCGACACCGGTTGCGGGCAACTGGGACAACATTTTTGTGGGTCTTGTGTTTTGTATATGCGCGTCAGAGTCCCGTTGCCCACAAGGGATTGAGATGATTGAGTCAGTTGGGCAATGATCAAAGATGATCTCTAGACCTCAGTAGTAAGTAGTGATATGTAGTGATATGTAGTGATCAACAGTTTTGAATCAAAAAAGTGATTTGCTTTGGCTGATGCTGCTCCATTGGATCCCGAGGAAGTCGACGCAGGTTCCACAGCACCTTAGCATATCTTAGCAGATGCAGTGTCAAAGCGTCTTGCCAGTGATTCTTTTCTTGGCCGGAAAATGCTTGAAGATCTTGAAGCACATAATGTGGCAGGAATACGACAAGCACTCTGACACCCTGTTGTCCAGCCACACTCAATTATTTCGCACTGATGTTATTGTAGCCAGCTTGAAACGGTAAAACCATGTAAAACCTCACAGGAAGCTGTCAAGGTCTGGATCAATTGCAAGATTTATGATTTATCCCTTCGGATTTTTGCCAGACTGGAAGCTGCACATGATAGGATATGACCGGTTCTTATTATCAAGTCCTTAATTAGTTATGTTCCAGGATGAATGGGGGTCACCAATTTTTTCTTCAGGAAAACATCACCCATAGCAGCACAAAAAGGGGGAACCTTGTTGGATCGCATCAGGTTTCATAGCATACTGGAAGGATGTTCAGACATGGCAATTTCTTTGAAATTCGGGGTGGACTCAGTTGGACACGAAGCAAGGGAATGGAGTTGAACGAAGATTCTAATTTTAACATATCTCAAAAAGTGGACTTGGCAATCGTATGTGACTGACCTTGGCTGCTTGGATCAATTGGCTCAGGTTCATTTTTGAGGATTGGCTTGTCAAGGGTCATGCTGGAGCAGCAACTCAGCATGGCTCGGTGGTGGGGATGATACACTGCAGCTGGTGAGCGTCAGGATGAATGCTGGACTCATGTTTGCCTGTTGAAACAGTTGTGATTGTGGCATGCTGTGAGTGATGAGTGTCAATAGTTTCATTTCACAGCCCTGGGTTTGGGTTCAGTTGTTATTCGGTGAGCACTATATTAGCTTTAAAGCAAAAGAAAGATGAAAACATCGCGGGCGCCCACGAGGAAAATTATCTGAAAGCAGCTCGGCCCACTTGCCCTTTGCCCTTGCGCTAGCAAATTAACTGAAGTCCCCCACTGGCCCCACTCGCCCCACTCGCCCGGCCTGCCATTGTAGGAAAAATTAATTGATTTTGGCTACTCGCCCCACTTGCCCCACTCGTCCCACTGCCCCGCTCGCCCCACTTCCCCGTCCTGCTTGCGGGGCATGGGGGGAAGCACGGTAAGCAAGGCAAGCAGGGCAATGGAGGTAGGTGGGCTAAGTGGGGCAAGCGGGGCAAGAGGGGCAAGCGGGCGGGGCAAGGGATATTGGCAGGTTCCATGTGTTCAAATTCCATAGCCACGCCAGGGCAAGTAGGGAAAGCAGGGCAAGCGGGGCAAGCCGGGCAAGCGGGGCAAGCGCGGTAAACGGGGCAAACGGGAAGAACCAGCGATCTTCCGTCGGTTTGCAAGTAGGGCAAGCGGGGCAAGCGGGGCAAGGAGGAAGATTCATTTATTTCCCGCACAAGCAGAGCAAGCGAGGCAAGCGCGGGGCAAGCGCGGGGCAAGCGCGGGGCAAGCGCGGGGCAAGCGCGGGGCAAGCGCGGGGCAAGCGGCCGAAATCACTGAGCGGCCTCGCGGGGCAACCGCACTGGGACAAAAGTCAAAGTAGACAGATTTGCCCGAGGCAAACATCATCATGACGCAGCCACGACGGATCAGTGCCATTGGAGTTGCGGATCGCATTGCCAATGAAATGAACACAGGACGCGGCCGTGTCAGAAGGAGTGCTCTTGATGCTCAGAAGATTTTGAAAGTAAAACAGAATTCCGTGGGAGAAGAGTTGAAGGCATCCTTTTCTTTGTTTGTACGGATGACTTGAGGACTTGGTGATTTAGTGGGCTACGCTATCCGGTTGGAGTCCAAACGATCCTTTCGAACCAAGATCTTGGTTTGCACCACAGGCCCGCTTCGGACGCCATTCAGTATGGCTCCAGATTAGGATGTTCAAGAGACGGGGCCACTTATTTGCTTTGTGATCATGAACAAAATGTTTCCCACGGGAATACTTCCACAGAGATTTCAAATGTTGCTGGGAAGGAGGGACATGCCATAGTTGATGTGATATATATATATATATAAGATTCTTGCAATTTGTTGCCGGCATATATCAACAAGAGTGTCAGGACTGTAGACTGTGCTCTGTCACGGGCGTATTTTCAAAGGAAACTGTTTCGATGGTTCATGTGTTCCATTTGAGAAGGCGTACTTCTTCGTCGCTTGGAGAATGACCCTCAGCTGCACAATGTCACGCACATAATCGTGGACGAATGTCCCTTCCTCAGCCTTTCTTGTGGTTTGCCTAGGCCTCCAGCGTTTTTTGAGGCAGAAAGACATTCAGTGAATAGACTCGACTGAAGCATCAACATTCAGAAAAATATGCTGGAGTGAAACTAATGCAACCGCCTGGACCATTGCAGCGCACTAGGAAAGTCAACTCTAAACATAATATCCAAACCCCAATCTTATTATATCTTATCTAACCATTAGCAGGGGCTTTGCATAGCGGATGAGGCCATGAGAGAGATCTGGACACTGTCCTGACCTGAGTGTACCAAGCTTTGCTGTCTTCTTTCTTTTCCTTTTTTCCCAAGAAGTGGAAAGAAAAGAAACATTCAAGCACGTGTCCGTTGAAGCAGAGATCAAGCCAATCACCGCGCCTTTCACACCAATCCTTAGAGAATGACTTGTCGACAAAAAGCATGAGACCGAAACGTATAGCAAATGGTGCAAACGCACATGCAGATAGTTTCAATGCTTCCCGGTTGTGCACGGAAGCAAGGATTTCTTGCTCATCATTCTGCGGGATCTTTTGCCAAAAAGACCCCGTTTAAGGACGGCTCTGTGGCGCCACACAGATGACTGGACTGTTTTCCCCCAAACAGGGCGTCAACACTCATCTTCTGAGTAGGAGCTAAGGCTGGGATTAGATCAGGGTGCTCTCTCTCTCTGGGTCCCGGCTTTTTCTCTTAAATTCTCGCATGAAACTTTTTTTGAGATGTCCAAGCGCATTTAGCCTGCGCACAAAGTGTGCGGCTAAGTTTACCTTGTGCTCATTTTTCGCGGCAGGCGCAGTAATTTGTATATCCCTCGACTATAAAAAGTAGCTGAAACACGCAACTTGCAATTTGTGCGAGCCGTCTCGCTTTCGTTGTGGCGTGGTGCGAAGTGCGAAATTTGATGTTGCTTGCGCAACCCTCACGTCACTTGGTCTCGTTGTGGGCGGTGCAAATTTTGACATGGCTTGCGCAACCCTCTCGGCACTTTGTGCATGTCGGATCGCTCTCGTTGTGGCGCGGTGCAAATTTTACATAGCACGCGCATGCCTCTCACAGCAGTTTGTGCGCGTCGGATCGCTCTCGCTGTGGTGCGGTGCGAACTTTGACATGGCTCGCGCAACCCTCTCGGCACTGCGCGTGTTGGATCGCTCTCGTTGTGGCACGGTGCTGATTTTAGCTGATTCTCTTGGATCCTGGAATCCTGGTAAAGAGATCTTCTGAGTTATTTGCAATGTCCTTCTATGACGCTCTTGCAACATTTTCGTGGTGCATCATATATGAAGATCTTGACCAAGGTCTTGTAGAGGTCCTTGCATGATCTTGTACAGGTCCTTATCAGAAGATCTTGTGAAGATCCTGCTGACATCCACTAAGAGCTCCTTGCATGATCTTGCTTAGGGATCCTGGTAAGATCCTCTCTAAGAGGTCCTTGCATGCAGATCTTGCAGATGCCATGTCTTAGAGTTGCTTGTATGACAGCTCTCTTGGGAGGCTCTTGGGAGGTTCTTGTATCAAGATCTTGTAAGATCCGCTCCAGCAGCAGCAGGTTCTTCCATGACGCTATTGTGAGATCCTTGTCTTAGGGTACCTGGCAGCTGGCATGGAGATCTTGGTCTTTTACAGCTCCTTGTGAGAAGATCTTGTGGAGATCCTGGTGAAATGCTGTCAGAGCCTTTGCGTGATCTTGAGCAGGTCCTTGTGAGAAGCTCTTGAAGAGGTCCTCGTGAAATCTTCTAGGTGTCCTTACATTATCTCGTGCAGGTCCTTGTGTGAGAAGATCTTGTGGAGATCCTGTTGAAATCCTTCTCAAGAGGTCCTTGCATTGAGATCTTGAAGATCCTCTGCGTTGGTGCTTGTCTCAAAAGGTCTTCTGGGATATTCTTGCCTGAAGATATTGTGAGATCCTCTATATAGACTCATAGACTATATAGATCTGTATAGAAGGTCCTGCTGCTGCAGTTGCGACGATGTCTAAGCCTGATCTGTCACTGTTCCATAGCTACTGTTGCTGGTATGCTTCATTGACTTCCTATCGCGCACACTGTTTGGGGCCTCTTGCCGGTGTAATTGTGTTTACAACTTCTAACTTCTAACTTTCTTTGTTCATAAACGAAGTTTCCCAATTTGTCTCGCTATATTATATTCTCCCCCAACGAACTTACAAAGCGCACCGAAGGTGCTGAGGCGTGCTAGTTTAGGAGCCGAGCCGATCGATTCGAACGATCCTCTGTTCAGCAGCTTCAGCTAGGGGGCCCATGTTCGCCCGGGACAGGCCGCCAAAATAAGTGCACGGGACTCTGGTAATTGGCGCATTTTGCATATCAGCACAACATCGTCCAATGCACCGTTTCGATCCGACATGGCCGCAACATCGGCTCCACTTGGGGTCAACTTCGACCAACAAGGCCCCAACTTCGGCCCAAGTTGGACCCACTTGGCCCCAACTTCGGCCCAACTTGGCTCCAAGATGGCGCAACTTGGCCCCAAGTTGGACCCATTTGGGATATGGCTTCAAAATGGGGGACATAGCCGGCCCAATCCGAAATCCTCTAATACCCGTTTTCGTTGCTATTTCCCCACATGTCAGGTGAGGTTTGTTAGATTTTATGTCAGCCTGCCCGCCTCCTTCCTTCCTTTCCTTCTTCCTTCTTCCGCTCCTCGCCGGACCTCAACTGCAAGCTCTACTGTCAGTGCTGGAATTATAGAACGGAAGTTGAGGAGTACGAAGGTACGGTTATTTACCGTACCCTGTTGTTCTATAATTCTGTTTTCCTCGGAAGGTATGAAAAAAATGTATCTGAATTTACTCCTAACTTTTTTCGTCGTTCTATAATTCTTGTCGGAGCGCTGTTGTTCTATAATTAATTCTGTTTTCCACCATTTTTCTCACATTTCCCATTTTCGTTCTATAATTAATTTTCTCCGTTCTATAATTCATTTTTCCGTCGAACGGAAAAATTATTTATAGAACAGAAAAATTGATTATAGAATTATAGAACCTCTTCCGGGGTCCCAGAAAGAGCTCATTTCCTCATTTTCTCATCAAATCCCCATTAAATCCTCATTTTATCCGCGTTTTTTTTTATCATTTCCTCATTTTATCTTCATTTTATCTTCATTTTATCTTCATTTTATTTTCATTTTTTCATCAAATCCTCATTAGATCCTGATTAAATCCTCATTTTATTTTCATGTTATCCTTATTTTATCCTCATTTCCTCATCAAATCCTCATTTTTTCAATTTATCATCATTTTATCCTCATTTTATCATCGTTTCCTCATCAAATCTTCATTTTATCCTCATTTTATCTTCATTTCCTCATCAAATCCTCATTAAATCCTCATTAAATCTTCTTTTCATAGATTGTATATGTACAAATATGCAGTAAATATCATGGAGGTGCCAGAAATTATAGAACGGAGCAATTTAATTATAGAACGGGGAAATTTAATCATAGAACGGATCCGAATCCGCGCGGAATCGGGATCCGGAGGAGTACGAAGGTACGGTATTTTACCGTACTTTTGTACTCCTGGCTCCGTTCTATAATTCTGGCACTGACTGTAGATCGTAGTGTTCCCCGCCAGACCCCAACAGCAACCTCTGGATCAAAGCGTTCCCCGCCGGTCCTCAACCGCGAGCTCCGGATCAGAGCGTTCCCCGCTGGACCTCAACCACAAAGAATCTCCGAAGATATACCAGATAGAATGCCAGAAAGAATGTCAAAAATATGCCAGCTAAAGATACATATGCCAGAAAGAATGTCATAAGATATGGCATATATCAGGTTGCTTTCTTGCTGATGTCGCTTGGCAACTGCATTTCAACTTTATTTGATATGAATTCCACAGGATATCACAGGATGCAGCAAGCATGTGGAGATGTGGATGAGGAAAGATGAGCCAACAACCGGTGCCAGGTGGAATGAAATTAATTGGAGAGTTAGCTGTGCATCTGTCTCACAAAAGACTTTGCTTCAGATAAAACAATGCTGTGAGTCTTGCAATGGGACCTGTAGCTGAGGGTTCGTGCTACAGCACGGAATGCTTTGAAATGGCATGGTGGTGATCACTCGGAGTAAAGTACTTTCCTCGTTTTTTGCAAGTGATGTTCCCCATGTTGTGTCTCCATTGGGCCCAACTTGGTGTGAAGCTGTCGCCAAAGGGTCCCAAGTTGCGCCGCTTTGGACGTGACTTGGGCTTCCATGTGGACCACCTTGCTTCTTCTTGTGGTCCATCTGCTCAAATCGGGCCCAAGTTGGAGCCAACTGGCCCGAGCTTGGCGCAAGTTACGGCTCCTGTTCGGCCCAACTTAAGGCCAAAGATGGCCAAGTTTGACCCCAGTGGCCTTTTGGTCCTGCCAAGTAGGCCCGCTTCTTTCCTCTCTGTCCTATACTCTGGGTGCGGGCGGTTCTCGTCGCGAAGCGGCTCGAATACTTTTTAGTTTGTGACCCATGAAATAATCATCCACTCGCTATTCCAACCAACCCACAAGCCCACAAGGTCATTCAATTCCGTGCTCACTGACAGCTCAGCTCACTTACAAGCTCACCAAATCATTCATATTCATGACATGCGGTGTTTTCATGCTGCAGGATAGGAGTAGGAATTGGGAGAAACTGTGCTGTTTGGTGTATATTGGCCGCATTCTTCACAAGGAGGCATGCAGGGCTTGTGATGTTTTGTTTCAAACGCAGACTGCTAGGGTCTGTCGGCTTGAGACGCATTTGCAATTTAACAATGGCCCGAGTGTGCTCAGAGGTCTCTAGAACATGATATCGGTCTGATATCGCAATGAAATCCTATATAAATTACCTAAATTCTTCAAGCCGCCTTCTTTGAATAGTTTTTCTTTCTCTTGAAATTTCCCAAGTAATTGGCAATTAGTTTATCAGCTTAGTTTAGAGTCGCAAAGAATGTGTCACTCGCTGAATCTACAACCAAGTACCCTCCCCCTTTGGCAAGCCACAGCGCCGGAGGATCGTACTGATGTCCGCAACGATCAACGCTCAGATTTTCAAGGCATCCTGGCTGCAAAAAAGTCAAGTACTAGTACTGCTTTAGAGTAGATTGCTCGCGTTTTGTCACGCATGTTCACACACACACATACATCATACATTCCTGCGTGTATGCTTGCATAAATCTACATACAGACATGCTGGCTACATCACCGCACATGCGGTGTCCAGGAATATATAGCAGCTATAGCATGCTGGAAATAATTCTGGGTGTCCATTCACTGAAGCGCATCATGATTATGACTCATGACCAGCCCTTTATCCACATCAACACGTGTTGCTTCCCAAGAGCATCCAAGAACAATATACACAAATTTAACCCCTTGTGGAACAATTTGCACATCATTCCTGATTTTTGTGCTCGTGGCTTTGCTTGTTAAACTCATGTATCTTGATGTATCTTGAGGACTACTTTCCTGGATGCAAATCAGTGTCAATTCCCGGCCGAACGTTTCCTGTGAAGTCCTACTACCTTGAACATGCGTTGACCCTTGATTGCACAAACAGGACCATTTGACCATATCTTGGCTGTCGCTGATGTTGCTGAATCACAGTGAGACTGCATCTTTTGCCGAACTCTTGCATTCTCATGACGTGGCAGTCGAAAGCAGAGAACTGACAGGTGACTCATGTGGCAATCTGCGCTCTTTTGGCTCAAAGTGCTCACGTGGCTCAAGGACATTTCGGTTTCTGCTTAGAACAAGTCTGCAGCAGTGCCAGTGCAACCATGGCTGACCCACGCATCGCGCATGTGCAAGGTCCAAGTGACGAAGCTGAGTTGCTCTTGGAGGAGGTTCCGAACACTCTCAATGCATCCAAGCCAAGGCATTGGTACTTTCTTGGTGCCGGCCTCGCCTTGCTTGTGGTGCTTGGAATGGCTGCCAAGGTTGTGTATCGCTCACCCGAGACCTTGGTGCAAGCCAAGAACTTCGACATCAACACTGTCCAGGAATGGGAGCAGATCCCTGGAATCGACCAGGTGGTGGAGCACGCCAAGACCTTGGAATTGAAGCAGCCCTTGCGCAATCTCAACGACCTCTTCTACGAGTCTCAGCCGGAAGAGCTGCCCTGGATCCGCACCGAGTGTGTCATTGATGTGGTTCAGGGCGCTGCTTACCTTGGCCAGGCTGTGGTCTTCCTTTACAAGGCCATCAAATATGATGGAATTCGATGCCCAGACAATTCCCCAGCTGGTTGTGCTGCGAGTATTGCTGGTTTCATCACCTCAGTGACTTGGATTGCCTCCTACCTGTCCTTCGCAGCAAATGCATGCGGTGCCGCTGTGAACTGGTGCCCTCTGTGCTGGCGACTGGACTGCTTTGATGGCCAACTTTGGTGAAATGGCTACTGTTGGAGCGGCTGTGAAGGAGGATTGCGACTTCGGTAAGGACTGGCTTGCTCTCCTCAAGATCACTGGCACTGCTGATGCAGGACTGCTCGATCACACGCAAATGTAATATCACGAATTTGCTATACGTAGTTTTTGTCTTTAGCACAACCAAGCCTAAGCCTAGCATAGAAAAACACAGAAGAATGGTGTAGCACAATGGTGAAGGGTGTTGGCAAATGTCAATGGCCGCGTCTGCGCTGAAGAGGACCCGGATGGAAGACTTTTGTCCCTGCTGGTGCTTTGCCCACAGTGGAGACTGTTCAGAAGGTCGACGCTCTTCGAACCGTTCTGTGCTCAGCTTGTCATGTGCTGCTCAACTTCAACCGAATCACCTGTGCAACCCGATCCCATGGTTGTGTCAGCCCGGAAGTCAATTGAAGCCGCTTGAGTTGAAGCTGAAGCCTTCTGAAGCCGGATGAGGCTGACCGAAACCGTGCCTTCGACCTTACCCAGTGCGTTGTGGCAGATGTCACCAATGCAGCAGCTTGGCTGCATGAATGTGCGCTTGCGACCCAAAACCCTCCGTGACCTCATGGATTGCAAGGAGCCATGGAAGACTTGAAAACGCTCTAGTAGAAGGATTTACGTGCAGCAAATTCTACCGTCTTCGGCTTCATCTTCATGACTTTGATACATGACTCGCGTTGGACGATTGCTTCTCAACCAGGAAATTGTCTTGAGTCACAGCGGCAGTTTAACTATAATAGCCTTTAATTAGCCACTTAGTCTTGAGGTTCCTATTAATCTGGTGCGTTCGTGTTATTGTCATTTATACATTCCGAAATAGAAAAATAAAAACACCATGGGAGGGCAAGATACAGGTCTTGCAAAGGCATAAGGGTCGTGGAGCAATCAGGGACAAGGTGCGCCTCAAGAGATCTTCTATGCTGTTTGTCCTTTCAGCAAGTGTCCCGCGAAGGGCAGAATACAAGCCTTTCAGGACGCTCATTTCCTTGATGGTTCCTTGATATCTGCGGCTTCTGTGGTGCAGTTGCTTTGGGAAGCTGACATAGGGGTTGCAACCCTTGGCTTTCGTCCACGCCCAATCCATTCCGAGAAACAACACCACCATAGCACCGAGAAATACTGTAGCCCACCTGCAATCACCGCGGCGTCCGGAAAGCATTCGCCCGAACGGGCCACATCACTAGCAGTGGTGAGGGGTGACTGCCATCCGGCGTGCCCAGTGGCCCATTTTGGTTCCCGGGGTGTATTAGGGTCTATTTAGGGTTGGTTTTAGGGTTGGCTTAAGGTTTCTGCAGGGTTTCGTCAAAGTTTGTTTTAGGGTCTATTTAGGTTTTACTTAGCGTTGGTTTGGAGTTTTATTTCGGCTTGGCTTAGGGTTTTTTAAAGGGTTGGTTTTAGGCTAAGTTTGGGTTTCATCAGGGTTTGTGCCACGGTCTAGCTTGGTTTAAGGTATATTCAGGCTTGGTTTAGGCAGGTTTTATTTGATGTTAGTTTAGGGTCAAAGTTGGGTTTCCTCAAGGTTTGTTCGAGGGCTTATTCAGGGTTTACTTAGTGTTGGTTTGGTGGTTATTTAAGCTTGGTTTAGGGTTCATTTAGGTTCGATTTAAGGTGAAATTATGGGTTTCATCAGGATTGGTTTTAAGGTTGGCTTTGGGTTAAATTAGGGTTTGGTTTGGGGCTTATGTAGTCTTTGTTTGGGGTTCATGGATGCTTGAGGGTTTCTTTAAGTTTGGTTTGGGGTTGAACTATGATTTCGTCACGGTTTGATTTGGGGTTGGTTTAGGGTTTGTTTTAACGCTGGTTTGGGGGTTATTTAGGGTTGGTTTAGGGTTTGTTCAAGGTCCGTTTGGGGTTTAGCTAGGGTTTGTTTAGCTTTCGTTTAGGGTATACCTAGGCTTGGTTTAGGGCATATTTCACACTGGTTTAAGGTTTCTTTGGGGTTGGTTTACGATTAATTAGGGTTTCGTCAGGGTTTCATTTTAAAAATTGTTTAGGGTTATTTTCGAGCTGACATCGTCGGCTCCGCCGGATTACTTGACCCTCGATGTCGTCGCAGGGTGGGCTTGAAAGCATTTGAAAGCTATTGAATGAGGACCTGCTGCTTCAGACATATATTCCTTATGCTTTTTTGAACATATTCATGGATACGTAAAAACTTCTGTGTGAAAAAGCTTCTGCGTGTAAAAGCTTCTCTGTATAAAGACTTCTCTATGTAAAAACTTCCGTGTGTGAAAGCTTCCGTGTGTAAAAGCTCTCTGTGTAAAGACTTCTTTGCGTAAAAGTTTCTGTCTGTAAACGCGCCTTTGGGTTAAAGCTCTCTGTGTAAAGACTTCTTTGTGTAACAGCGTGTGTATGTAACATGTTCTGTGGGTAAACGCCCTTGTGTGTAAAAGCTCCTGTGTAAAGGTTTCTCTGTGTAAACGCTTCTGTGTGCAAGCGCGTCTGTGTGTATAATCACTTCTCTGTGTAAAAGCTTCTGTGTGTAACAGCTCCTCTGTGTAAACGCGTTTGTGTGCAAAACCTCCTGAGTGTAAAGACTTCTCTGTGTAAAAGTTTCCGTGCTTAAAAGCTCGTCTGTGTAAAGATTTCTCTCTGTATAAAAGCTTCTGCGTGTAGAAGCCAGTCTGTATAAAGACTTCTCTGTGTAAAAGCTTCTGTGCGTAAAAGCTTCTGTGCGTAAAAGCTGCTGTGTGTAAAAGCTCCTCACCAGCAGCATTCATCATCATATTTTCTTGTGTGCTATCTTCTCGTCTCCTCCCTCCAGCTTTCTTTTGGGCCACACCGTCGTCTAGTTTCAATCTGTAACGTCGTTTCTTGTTGAAGAGGACCAAGAACATGTGAAAGCATCGCTCGTTCAAAAATTGAACATAAACAACGCACAAAGCGCTGTAATTTACAGCATTTTGCGCTGTCCGATGGCAAGAACCTGCGTAAATAGCACAGTTTTAGCTAAAACACTGTTATTTACAGGGTTTCGCTCACGTCACAATCTTCGATTTTTTGAAAAACGCGTAAGTACCAGAGTTTTATGCGTTCAGCAAGGTAGCAAATCGGTTCGAAAAGTGCAAAAAAATATGTAATTTACAAGGGTTTGGTACCGCCACGGGCAAAAAACTGCGTAAATACCAGCGTTTCAGCGTCCAAAAGTTGCCAAAACACTGCTATTTACAGTGTTTCGTGCCTTCCACGTTTTCTTGAAATTGCAAAAAACCGTGTAAATACGAGCATTTTTTTCGATTTCGAAAAGCAAACATCGTCCGAAAAATGTGTCAAACGGCACTTTTTTCCCATTTTAAGTGCCCTCAAAATGGAGGGGGGGGAATGACTTGGAGACGCGAGCTCTCCCCCAGCAGAGTGAAGGATTTTTGGTGTTTTTGGGGGCCCGGCGTCGGAGGGTCGGCGGCTTGGGGCGCGCCTCACCATAGGGTTCTAGTCGCTCTGGGACGCTCGTGACGCATTTGTCAGCGTACTCGTGTGGACCGGCGGAGCCGAATTTAGGGTTGTTTTAGGGTTTTAATGTAGTGTTGGCTCTTTGTTGTTGACTTTCTGTTTTCCCATGTTCCCATGGGTTCCTTGAGCCGCTTTCCGGCTTCTTCTGTCACTGACTCTTTGTTGTTGACTTTCCTTTTTCCCCGGGGTTCCTGGATCGTCCTGCCAGGGGTGACCGACTCTTTGTTGCTGACTTTCTGTTTCCCTCGCGGGTTCTTGATCCTCCTCCCGGCTTCCAGGAGGTGACCGACTCTTTTTGTTGACTCATGTTGACTCTCTGTTTCTCGATCATGGTCTCCCTGCCTCCTCTGCTGTTGTGCAGGTGACTGACTTTGTCTCATGGGGTTCTCGACTCGGACATTTGGGGCGACTGACTCGAGTGACTGAGTCTGACTTCGCCCCTTTTTGAACTGCGCCTTCTTTTGCGTTATCCCCTCTCGAACGAAGTCTACTTTTCTTTAGCTATTTCTTCCCTCGAACTACATTCCTTTACTTGAAAGTCCTCATCTTTTCACTTGCCTCCCGTCTTCAGCTACCTCTTCTCTTGAGCTACCTGTCCCAACTTCTCTTGATTGAGCTACCTGTCCCAACTTCTCTTGAGCGTTTTCTTCTCATGAGCTACCCCGTCCCTTGGGCTACTTCCTCTATGAAACGACCTGTTCCCTACCTATCGTCGAAGTACCTCTTCTCGTCAGGCATCATTGCGCCTCTTAATCAACATTTTGTCTTGGCTATATACCCTTTCTTCTCTTGGCCAGCGGAGTAATCCGACCTGCGACTCGGAGCGCCTCTTCAGCTTCGCCAGCCAACGGACAGGAAGCAAAGTCAGCGCATTGCAAAACATGTTCAGTTCTGAGGCGGCCTATATTGTGCGGGCGATTTTGCAAATTCGCTCCGCAGCTTCGGCCTGCCCGGAGCCAAAGCCACTTGGCTTGAAGACATCAAGACGAGCTGTCATGGCATTGGATGAATAGGGCATGGAAAAGCAAAATGCAAAATTGCTTTCTGACTCAGTGGGACAGTGTCAAATCTGCTGACACTTCAGGGCGTGCGCTATCAATATTATGAATATCATCTCGTCCTTTGCTTGGATCTCGCAGTTCACGCCGCTTGGTTCTCCTGCAGTTTGGAGGTTTCACATAGGGAGTGGCGTAAGAACGAAAGTAACTGGGTTTCAAGAAAAGGCGGTTTATTTGAGCGGGTGATGGCGAGAGGGGTAATGCGGCGGCAGTACCAGAAAACTGCCGTGAGATGAGCAGAAAAGGGGGTAATGTGAATTACAGTTGACGCTTCCCTTCCGTGATGTATCTTCAAAACGGTAGAAGGACAAATGTCAGATAGATCGTCAGGATAAGGCAGAAAATGTGTCAGATGGAATGCCAGATCAAATGTCAGGTGGATGTTTGCCAGAATGTCGCAAAGAGTCACAATATGTGTCTGATAAAGCCTTGATGGCTGGGTTTGGCAAGGGTGAAGGTGGCTAATCATAGAATTTTGATTGTTGCCGTTCTCTGCAGCCGAAGCATATCATGACAACCAATCAACATATCCATAATGTCTTATGGCAGGTAGAAGGTCAGAACATATGTCAGATGAAATTTCGTTTGCCGCATGGAATGTCAGAAAAGATGCCAGAATACCTGTCAGATAGAAGGCCAGAAAAATACCAGTAGCATGCCAGATCAAATGCCCGAAGAAAGGCAGAATAAATGCCAGATAAAATGTTGGATGATATTATGTCAGAGAGTTTGCCCCCTCAAATGCCAGATCAAGTGGCGCCAGAGAAATGCGAATTTGTGCCAGATAGAATGCCAGATCAGGTGTCAGAGTATATGTTAAATACGACGCCCTTTGTCAGAAACAACAACGAAGTATGTCGGACACAATTTCCTATGTCAATGACAATGTTATGTCAGAAAGTATGCCAGGCAGGATGGCAGATAGAATGCCAGTTAGATTTGGATAAATGCCACAATGTTTGTCAGTTCAAAAACAGATAAGCTGCCAGGATCTCTACCAAATAAGATGCACTTTGTTAGATAGAATGTCAGGTGGATGGTGAGAAAGCATGTCAGATCAAATGCCCGAACATGTCAGATAGAATGCCAGATGAGTGTCACATTGTCAGATAGCACGCCAGATAGAGTGTCAGTGTCGGAATATGTGGCAGACAAAATGCTGGCAGCGTACGTATTTTCAAGCTTATTGAGACAGAGGTTCGTGATTAGGCAGCAATATTTCCCCAGAATCGGGCCGGGCAGGGCTCAAGTGGAGCGATTGTGAATGGAGTGCGGCTAAGTGCAGTAGATTAGGTATGAGAATGTGCTATGCCAATGCATGTTATGGATTGTTATGGCTGTTATGGCCTTGCGCTAGGCGCTGGCCTGTTATGTGCTGATGTTGTCGGTGCTGTAGCTAAATCAGACTAAAACAAATCCCCTCAACTACTTGGGGTCTTGGATGGGTACCCCTTCAGGACTCCTGTATGAAGGGTCTTTTCTATGTTCATACCCAAAGTAGACCCTGTAACATGAGGCATCCAAGACCCTAGGCTATTCAGGTTAACTTTTGGCCCTGTGTTCCCGATGTTACTCCAGGTTGTGCCGGCTTGGAATTTTGAATTTGTGTTTAGACCCTTGGTATCACATGCACCCAGCTCATCCCAGTTCACCAGGAATATTGAGCCCCCAAATCCCATGATGTAGCATCGCGTTCACTTTTCTCTTGTAACCCTTTGTTGCCTCCGTCTTTGCTTGCTTTCCCTCTTCTGCCAAATGCGTCAAAATCTTCATGCTTTCTTGCAGGAGGCCAACGTGATGGGGTCTAGAACGGTGTGACTGTACGTGGGGTGGGCGCCAAAAACCACATAGCCTTTCCAATGACATTATAGTAGACCCAAACTACTTGGTAGAAGCCTACTTTCTTTCTCACTGCCTATTCATGTCTACCTCACGGCTTCTTTGAAATCCAGCCACCAATCATTGAGTTCTATCATCATAGACCGTTCCAAATCTGTTGCAGTGCTCGTTTGCAGAATAGATGAAATGAGGAGGTCTAGAATGGTGTTGCCTGGGGTAGGCAGCCCACAAGCACAAAAAAAAGTCCAATGATATCAAAGTAGACCCAAGCTGCTTGGTAGAAACTTACTTTTTCTAGCACTCTACCTACTCATGTCTACCACTTCTACTTTCCAAATGCATCCACAAACGGCCACAAATTATTCAGCTTTATCATCATAGATTCCAAAAACTGTTGCATTGCTTGTTTGCAGCATGGATTAAATTGGAAGGTCTAGAATGGTGTTGCCTGGGGTGGGCAGCCCAGAAACACATATTAAGTCTAATGACATCAAAGTAGACCCAAGCTTCTTGGTAGAAACCCAAATTTGTTCAAGCACTGCTTACTCATGTCTACCAGTTCCTTTTGCAAGATTCAACCACCAATTATTAAGCCGGATACAATCAGATAGAATGCCAGAAACATTATCAGAACATATGCCACAGAAAGAATGCCAGAGTATATTCCAGATAGAATGCCAAAAACAGCTCCACGCAAAATGTCAGAAAAATGCCAGGTAGAATTCCAGATGATATGTCAAGACGATGTCAGGGTTTATCGTCATAGACCGTTCCAAAAACTGTTGCAGTGCTTGTTTGCAGAATAGATGAAATGAGGAGGTCTAGAATGGTGTTGCCTGGGGTGGGCAGCCCACAAGCACAAAAAAAAGGTCCAATGATATCAAAATAGACCCAAGCTGCTTGGTAGAAACTTAATTTTTCCAGCACTCTACCTACTCATGTCTACCATTTCTTTTTTTCAAAATGCACCAGTAAACTTTATCCAGATAAAGCTAGGGGGTTTGCCAAAGAGCAAGGACGGCAGAACTGACAAAGAGCCTGAACACTACTGGCAAAAAAAGTTGAAGGTCTGAAGTTGTTTTACTTGATTTTTTTGTAGTTGTTGTAAAGTAGACCCTACACATGATACGTAACATGAGCCATTCAAGACCCCATTCTAGACCTTACTGTTATATTCATGTTAATTCGGTAATTTCAGAGTAGACCCTTTCCTCCAAAATAGGCAAGAGGTCTATGATCAGACAAAAAAATCTCGGGATACCCTCAGGTAACTCCTAAAAAGACCCGGGTTTTAGGGCCTGAAATGCAATATCCAAGGCCCCTGCCAAGTAGCTGAGAGTATTAAAACAATAGGTAGGAGAGGAGCGGGTACTGCTGCTGTTGCTGCTGCTTCCTGCTCCTGCTCCTCCTGCTGCTGCTGCTGCTTCTGCTTGCTGCTGCCTGTTGCTGCTGCTGCTACTACTGCTGCTGCTGCCGCTGCTGCACATAGAATAGGATATAGGAACAGGCACTACGGCTACAGCTGCTGCAACTACAGCTGCTTACCTCTTACGGCCGCTGCCACTGCTGCTGCCGCTGCTGCTGCTGCTGCCGCTGCTGCTGCCGCTGCTGCTGCTGCTGCTTGGCAGTTGCTGCTGCTGCTGCTGCTGCTGCTGCTGCTGCTTGGCAGTTGCTGCTGCTGCTGCTGCTGCTGCTTGGCAGTTGCTGCTGCCCGCTACTGCTGCTTGGTGCTGCTACTGCCACTGCTGCTGCGCAGCAGCAGAAGCGTACCAGAAGCGGCTGCCGGCAGCAAAACAGCAAGGCACGGAAGGACGAACAAGCCACAGAATCGCACCGAAAAATTGCCTGACGTAACTTCTGAGACCCTACTAGAATTGAGAGAACTGAGAGGACTGATGAAAGATATACTAGACGGCTGCTGCCGTTGCTGCTGCGGCTACTGCTGCGGCTACTGCTGCTACTGCTGCTGCTGCTGGGCAGCTGCTGCCTGGTGCTGCTGCCGTTTCTGCTGCGGCTACCGCTGGTGCCGCTGCTGCAGCTGCTGCAGCTGCTGCTGCTGCTGCTCGGCAGCTGCTGCTGCCGGCTACTGCTGCCTGGTGCTGCTACTGCTACTGCTGCTGCTACTGCTACTGCTGCTGCTGCCGCCGCTGCAGGTACCGCTGGTGCCGTTGTGCCGTTGCTGCTGCTGCAGCTGCAGCTGCTGCTGCTGCTGCTACAGAAGAGTACCAGAAGCGGCTGCCGGCAGAAAAGCAGCAAGGCACGGAAGGAGGAACAAGCCACAGAATCGCACCGAAAAATGGCCTGACGTAACTTCTGAAACCTTGCTGAAACTGACAGAACTGAGAGGACTAATTCAAATCAATTGAAAGTAAATTGAAATATCAATTGAAAATCAATTGAAGGTAAATTGAAATCAATTGAAAGTAAATCGAAATCAATTGAAAGTAAATTGAAATCAATTGAAAGTAACTTGAAAGTAAATTGAAATCAATTGAAAGTAAATTGAAATCAATTGAAAGTCAATTGAAATCAATTGAAAGTCAATTGAAATCAGTTGAAGGTAAATTGAAAATTCATTGAAATCAATTGAAAATCACTTGAAATCAATTGAAGTCAATTGAAAGTAAATTGAAAATTCATTGAAATCAATTGAAAGTAAATTGAAATCAATTGAAAATCAATTGAAATCAATTGAAAATCAATTGAAATGAATTGACATCTCCATTTTTTTGATCACACACTATTCAGGATCGAAATCGTGAAATTTTCCACATTAAAGAGGACCTAAAAATTGATAAGGGAGGGGGGGGGCCGACACTAATCAGGATCCAACATTATATGTGAGAATATATGTCAGACAAAGCAGGTAGAAGTGGAGATAAAATGTCAACATATTATTTGTCAGATAGAATGAAACATGACATCGCATAAATGCCAGAATGTATTTGCCAGAAAAAATGCCGGAATATATGTGAGATAGAATGTCAGATAGAATGTCGGAATGCCACATAAGAATGTCAGAAGATATGTGTGAATCTGTGTCAGGTAGAATCAGAATGTTCGTCATTTAAAATGCCAATGTCAGATAGAACGTTAGCTAAATCTCAGAGTTTATGTCAGGCAGAATGCCAGGTAGAATGCTGGTCAAATCAAAGTATAATTGAGTTAATGTCAGATAGAAGGCCAGGTAAAATGCCGCTAGAATGCTGGATGCAATGTCAAAATAAATGTCAGAACAAATGTCAATCTATACATCAGGGAGGGTGTCAGTTGGCACCACTGAAAGCAAAGTTGTTCATGTTCAAGGCAAAGAAAACGAAAAAGAAAACGAAGAAACAATGTAAAGCAAAGTTGTTACCTTGGTTTCGAACCGGGATGGCCCATGGCGTGCCCAGTGAACCCATGCAGCATATGCAACCAAACGTTGCGAGAATGGAGCCTTTGCCCATATGTATTTCCATGTTTCTTATGCCCAGGGGAAAGGATTTGCGTATTGTAACATTCAAAAATGTCACTGCAGCGATGTGCAGTTACTTTGGGTCAGTGCCATTGTTTGGTGGGAAGGGTTCGATTGTTTGCGTTGAGATGGGTCAAACTAGTTCACCAGAGAAAAAGGGGTTGATTTGTGGCCTTGTTGTTTTCCCAAGAAAATGATAAGGCTGATAAATTCTGAATTGGATAACTCCGTAAGACCGATAAAGAAAAAACAAGAGGGTTTGGATGTAGAAATTCAAACTGGACCCTGTTTTCCTACGCCCTCATGTGCTTCAGATTTGACAAGGACAATACATGACGACATATGGACCTGGAAATCTACATTCATGACCAATTGTTTATCAATTTTTTTGCCGATGACCCTTGCACATACCCAAACATTACCTTTCTGATCCCTTCTGTATTTTTTGTTTTTATTGTCCACACACGCACACAGATCAATCCCAGGTCATTGGCAGTCTCCGACTGCTGGGACAAGGGAAGCCAAAAAGCATTGTGTGCTGCCGACATCTCTGCACCTTGCATGCATTGAATGGAAAACAACGTGCGTTCCAGCACCCCTTGTCCCGTTGGAAATCATTTAGAGCATTCTGGGGTATCGTGTTCGTTGGTTGCGTGTAGAATTTGACCTGATCGAACAATTTAAAGGACTTGTCCATGGCAGAGCTTCAAAATCATGGAACTTAAAACCACAATGCATACTGCTCTGCTTCCAGACGTTCGATCTGGTGTACTCCATGTTTGCAACGGTGCATCGGTCAACCCATGCCGATCCAAGGACATGGTTGCAGCTGTGACAAATGGTCCCGCTGCCGGCATTGCAACCACTTCTGATTCTCAATCTGCAGATAGAAACTGCCATTTCCTTCAATTTCCTATGTTTTGTATGTCTGCAAGGTGATCTTGCCAAATCGTTCGTACCGTGAAATGCCTTGAATACCTTGAGTACTGGACCCCCGAGGATTGTGCAGACATGCCAGATCCACTGGAGGAGGAGAAGCATCTGCCTATGGACTAGGTATGACTAGGTTAGCCCCAGGTTAGCCAAAGATCAGTGGTGATCTAACCGAATTCCTGAGTTGGGTAGCTGGTGAACACCTATCCGACTAGCCGCTGTTTTTCTTTTGTAGAGGCACTTGAATTTGAGTCCGTTGGAGACGGCTCCAACAACCCAGGGAGCTTGAATCACGACAGCTGTTCCTTGATGCCTGGGTTGCAGAAACCTTCGACACTCAGACCTTTGATGCGAGCAATGTCAGCACATTTGCGCCTCTATAAATGCACTTGCCTACCGCTTCCACCACCGAGTGCAAAAAGGGAAAGCGCTGTTCAGAGACAGTTGGTAGCTGCTGCAGCTGTGTAAACTTACTTGGCTGAAACCATGTTGCACATATTGCACAAGGGACTGGCTACTGAGGATGCACACGAATCTCGTTATTGAGCCGAACTCGGAGTACTGTCGCAAGGACTACGGGCATCCACAGGCCAATGTTGGCTAGGGGAATAGGGGTATTTTTTAAAATCTGAGTAGCATTGAGTAGCCTGTTTTGAAATTGACATGGAATTGGAAGGACCTGTCCTTGCTGCTTTCAGGACATTGATCCGGTGATGACCTACCAAGAGGAACAAGAACTCAGGTGTGCGGACATATGCAGACATGCTTAGTCTGAATGCACTGCTTGACTCTCACATAGAGAAATACATGGCATATGTTTCAAGACCAGATGCTTGTGTGATGCGGTGTCGCTCTGCCATTCGAGACAGGCAAGTTTATGAAAAGCCAGAACACATCGAACTTCTCGGATCTGAAGCGCCATCGAAGCATGTACTGCAGCAGCTCCTCTGCTGCATCGAAAGTTACTCGTATTTTTCGGTCGGCTACTGCTATAATACTGGTGCCATGTGCATTTCTTCCGGGTTGCATACAACGCCTTATTTAAGATTTACAGATGTACAATAATGTACAAGATGATACAGGTGGCCAGATGCACGTGCCAACACTTGACAACTTGCATCTGAAGAGGAGGTGGATTTTATGGCTGAATCGAGTGTCACGTCTCGTTTTGAATTTACATAACTGGCTTGTGGCCATTGTTCCGAACTTGTTGAAACCAACATGCTCGTGTGTGCTTTTTGTTTGGGAAGTGAACAGTCGAGGCTCCATCGTTTTGATCCAGAAAAGATCAACTTCGAGCTTGTAGCACAAGTCGTTCGTCACATCCATCTTCAGGCAGCGATGTAAGATGTGCAAGATCAAGGCAGTTTAATTACCCTGAACAAGAGCTTCTTTTTTTGCAATAATCATGTTGATGATGTGGATACCGGCTGAACAGGTTGACCCTTGCAAGGATGGCAAATCGCACCTTGGTTCCAGCGTTTATCTGAACTATCTATGGAGGGTTTGGCGTTCTTTCTTGAATTTCATGCAGGACCATGCAGGTAACATGTTAGAAGGGCCCGGCCGTGTGATGCTATGCCCTTGAAATTATTTTGTTAGAAGCACAGTGCCAGCAAGTCTAGCAAGTTCAGGAGGTGGAGACACCTCCACCAAAGCGTATTGGGATAGCGGCGCAGTCACGATTTTGCCAAGGCCTGGAGCCATTTTGGTCTTCGTCCCGGGACTCAGAGAATCTTGGCTGCTTTGGCTAGCCGGTGCTTCAGCGTCCAGCTGTCCAGTCCATAGGTCTTTCGCGACCTGGGAATATCAGGACCTATTTAGGGAAGAGGGCCGCTCAGGTGCAAGATGTGCAAAAACTCATTGTGCAATTGCAAGACAATTTCCAAGATATTCCAAGTATGCAATCAAGAAAAAGAACAATGGTGCCACAATCTTTCCACGGACAACCCGTGGAAAGACCTATGTCGAGGACAGAGAACGGGGTTCGCAAAACCTGAATATGGGCACATCAAAGGAAAAAGTGATGCGTGTCACAATGAACCACGGGTTCAATATTGATTTTCTTGATGGTACGGAAATTCAAGAACATGAACATTTAATGCTACTACTACGAATTACAATATATATATATGGGGGCAAATCAAAATAGGAGGTCCGGAACAAGCTCCGGGACCACACCCGTCCCATACCCCCGTTCCATACCCCCGTTCCATACCCCCGTTCCATACCTCCTTGAAGGATCCGTTCCATACCTCTGTTCCATACCTCTGATCCATACGATATTATATATATAATGATTATATAACTATTATTTATATATATATACAATTATATATATATTTGGTTATGTGCAATCTAAATTTACATTTGTACGCACATATATGAGCGCACGTACATACATGAGTGCATACATGCAAGAATACGTTTACTATGCCCAAGCCCTGTGATTGTGTTGGCAAGTCTGCGCCTGCAGCACTTACAGCTGCTACCTACTTTGTTGTGTGATGGTAGGGATGTGCTTGGCTGCTGCCAGCTGGCAGTCTAAGAATGGATTGCTTGTAACCCTCCCTCCCTCTCAACCTGTGGCAGGTTTGTGCCTGCACCACTTAAAGTTGCTGCAGGCTGTGGCACAGCTGGGGTGTTTGATTGTAGAGATGCGCTTGGCTGCTGCCAGCTGGCAGTCTAAGAATTGCTTGCTGCGCTATTCTCGCTCCAAACTGCGAATTTTGATAAAGATGTGCTGCGTGGTGGCAGTGCTGTGCTGGAGTGGGCCGTTTCGTTCCAGACCCCGTTCCATACAGTTCCATACCCGTTCCAGACCTGGACCACCCATGTACCACCCCTGACCCACTGGTGAACACATGGCAGGTTCTCACATAGACTGCTCGTAAGCCATCCTTTGCGCGTGGGTTATGGGAGGGTAGAGTCTTGCTATGCAGGGACACAATCTACCCCATAGGGACCTCTGAGTTTTAAGAGTAGGAGGTGGGACCTGCGTGACAGGTCTGAAGCTGAGTCGACAGCTTCACATGGTAGCCAGTGGGTGACACTGGCTACCGGTCGTGTCGTATCTAGTGCACGAGCACTAGCCATGCAAGGCAAACCTGCGTTGAACAGGTGTACAACAAGGATGTCGTGCAGATGAGGAGTAGCTTCAACGTGCATATCCTTGAGATGTATATATATTATATTTGTTTATGTATAGCCTATATTTCATCACACTCCAAAGGTCCGGAACAAGACCAGTTACGAAGCCCCTTCGCTCCATACGTCCGGAACACCGCGGAACGTTCCATACACAATTTTGACTCGGGACCATATATATATATATATCATATATTGGTTATTATATCTATCCAAAGTCTGAATAGTTGAGTCTTCAGTTTCCTCAATAGGTTTTACGGCCTAAGGTAAAGGTCTATCCATCCCGAATAGCACTTTGGACTTTTAGGGGATAGTTTGCTATCCTAACATGATGGTTCCACGAAATTTGAAACAGTGTCGCTGCTAATCTCTTCAGTTCGTTCAAACGGTTCAGACCCCAAGTCTTGGAGTATCCACATGCTTGATTGTATCTTGGGCGATTATTACTGAATGACGACTGCCTCGAATGCGAAACAGATGGTGCTGCAGATTCAGTCGAAGAAATTTGGTTTCGAAAGCATCATTGAGACTGAGGAGATCAAAAAGGCCATTCGCTGCATCTCCGAGGAGTTGGGGACCGTGGGATTTTGTGATCAGGTTCCTTTTGAAGCTGGACTAATGTTAGTGGAGAAGACGGCAAGCCACTGCACAGGAGGCAGATGGAAAAGGAAAAGGGCGGGGCTCCTTTGAGGAGAGCCGAGGCAGGACATGAACGGGTTCTTTCAACATCTTGCAGCCTTTTTCTAAAGCTAAGCAGGAAATAGAAGTTTTGATCCTTTTTGGACTTGAAAATACTTGAACATCTTGAAATCCGTCTTGTGGTGGGCTATGCCCTTGTTGCATCAGCCGCCAGCTGTGAACCACGGAACGAATCACCAATGTTACTAGTTACGAGGCCTGAAGGAGCATGACACTGTCACAGCAAAGAATCTTGGAAACCCTGACAGGTGGAAGCGTGAAAGGCGGCAAAGGCGGGCCTGAAGTTACAAAAGTCGCTCAGTTGCAGAGGGGAATGGGGGCACAAAGTGCCGTCAGAGTGCCTAGACATCAAGAGCTGGAAATCATTGCCATCTCTCCATGTGTTTCATTATATGTCATGATATGTCATGATATTTCATTATTGTTCGTGTGTCAAGTAGTTAAGCTGGAATGAGACTCGTTTGATCTCGTTTGTGTGGCACGTGCACCTGGAAGTCTAGAGAGTACTAGTTTTACTCGGGCATGTATTGCTGTCAAGGATGGGCTATGGGTCCTACCATTGCACTCTATGATCAGTGTGAGCGAGCAACGTTTAGTTTTCAAACGGCCTCCCACTCGTGCTCGCAAGGCCTGGTGGTGTGGAATGTTTGTTTTAGCCATGAAGGTTTCTACATGAGCAAAGACCTTTCATGACTTTTCAAGTGAGACGACAAGAACTACAGTAACTATAGTATGCTTGTTGGTGAGCACACGCATTTTTGGAACCAAAATGAACCGACAAACTATCAACATCTATATCAACGATACTAAAAAACGAAGACTTCTTCTTACAGAGGATCAGATGCGAGATGGTTGCTGTTCGGTCGCAGTCGCTTCCTTCAATTCTTCCTTCCACTCGTTCCCTGCCCTGATATTCTTTGGAGGTGGTCGTCACGACGAACATCGCGGAAACGTCCATCACAATTGACGATGTGGAGTACGTTCCCTGGCTTCCAGAAATCCAGCAAGGAAAATCAGCACGGAATAGCTTGAAAGATTAGCGTTGCCTGAAATGGATTGAAATCGTAGACTCGATGTGTGTTTGATCAGAATTTTTGTCAGTATGATAGGAGGACAAGTCAGAGATGTGTTTCGAAGCAACAGCAAGTGCCAACATTGCCACTACATTGATCATTGTGATGGCAGAGGCCCTTCACATTCCTGTCCAACAGCAACTGTTCCACACAATCATTAAACTAATTATAATTGGTGTCGACAGCCAGCAGTATTTTGTTTCTCGAACCTGACAGATTCAGATGGTCAACACGCAGACCTAATGTTGAAATGTTGAGTTATTCCGTAATTTGACACGGAAAGCGAAGGAAAGTAGGTGGCATCCTGTCTTCCATGGGTAAGCATGGATAAGCCAGATGTGGGGGTGTGCGCAAACAGCATCTTCTTGGCCAGTGGCTTCTGCAGGTAGTTGACTGTGGACGCCACAAGTGAACATGGCTGCAGCAAGATGTGGAATTGTGCTGCAGATTTCCAGATCTTTCCATACCTGCACCATGTTGCACCCGTATTGCGGCTGTGATGATTTGGGGCAGAAGGTTCACGCCCGGTGTTGCACACAACTGAGGCAGACAAAATATGACCCCCAGAACCGCATTTCGATGCTCGTAGACTGCGTGGAAACGAAGGCTGCTATCAAGCAGAACAGAGAGGCTTTTGCATCAGATGTACAGATTACATCTTATTAACACTATTATAAAATATATTTGTATATTGATGTGTCTACTATCTACCTGGTACCTGTCTATCTGTCTATCTGTCTATCTATCTATCTGTCTATCTATCTATCTGTCTGTCTGTCTATCTGTCTATCTGTCTATCTGTCTAATTCCATCTATCTAATTCTATCTGTCTAATTCTATCTTTCTAACTCTATCTGTCTAATTCTATCTGTCTAGTTCTATCTGTCTAATTCTATCTGTCTAATTCTATCTGTCTATTTCTATCTGTCTATCTAATCTATCTATCTAATCCTATCTATCTAATTCTATCTTTCTAATTCTATCTATCAAAGTCTATCTATCTAATTCTATCTTTCAAATTCTATCTATCTAATTCTATCTTTCTAATTCTATCTATCTCATTCTATCTATCTATTTCTATCTATCTAATTCTGGCTATTTATTTTTGTTTTCTATCGAATTCTATCAATCTATCTAATTCTACCTTTTTTTTCTCGAAATCTGTCTATCTAATTCTATCTCTAATTTTTCTATCTAATTCTATCTATCTAATTCTATCTACCTAATTCTATCTAAGTCTATCTATCTAATTCTGTCTACCTAATTCTATCTATCGAATTCTATCTATCTAATTCATTCTAATTCTATCTAATTCTATCTATCTAATTCTGTCTACCTAATTCTATCTATCGAATTCTATCTATCGAATTCTATCTATCTAATTCTGCCTATCTAATTCTGTCTGTCTAATTCTTTCTGTGTAATTTTATCTGTTTTCATTCTATCTGTCTAATTATTTCTGTCTAATTCTATCTGCCTAATTGTAATTCTATCTGTCTAATTCTATTTGTCTAATTCTGTCTGTCTAATTCTATCTGTCTAATTCTACCTATCTATCTATCTATCTGTCTATCCATCTATCTATCGATCTATCCATCTTTCTTTCTATCTAATTCTTTCTAATTCTACCTATCTCTATCTCAATCTATCTATCTATCTAATTCTTTCTAATTCTATCTAATTCTGTCTAATTCTATCTAATTCTATCTAATTCTTTCTAATTCTATCTAATGCTATCTAATTCTTTCTAATTCTGTCTATCTTATTCTATCTAACTAATTCTATCTAATTCTGTCTCATTCTATCTAATTGTATCTAATTCTTTCTAATTCTGCCTATCTCATTCTTTCTATCTCATTCTATCTATCTATCTACCTATCTATCCTATCCTATCCTATCCTATCTATCCTATCTGTCCTTTCTATCCTATCTATCCTGACTATCCTATCTATCCTATCTATCCTATCTATCCTATCTATCCTATCTATCCTATCTATCCTATCTATCTATCTATCTATCCTATCCTATCCTATCCTATCCTATCTCTCCTATCTATCCTATCCATCCTATCCTACCCTATCCTACCCTATCCTATCCTATCCTACCCTACCCTATCCTATCATCCATCCATCCAGCTATCTATCTATCTGTCTATCTATCTACCTATCTATCTATCTACCTACCTATCTATCTATCTGTCTACCTAGCTATCTATCTATCTGTCTATCTGTCTATCTGTCTATCTGTCTGTCTGTCTATCTGTCTATCTGTCTATCTGTCTATCTATCTATCTATCTATCTATCTGTTTATCTATCTACCTATCTACCTATCTACCTATCTACCTATCTAGCTATCTATCTATCTATCTACCTGTCTATCTATCTACCTACCTACCTATCTATCTATCTATCTGTCTATCTATCTATCGATCTATCTTTCTATCTATCTATCTATCTATTCATTCTATCTATCCTTTCCTATCTATCCTATCTATCCTATCTATCCTATCTATCCTATCTATCCTACCTATCCTACCTATCCTATCTATCCTATCTCTCCCATCCTATCTATCCTATCTCCCCTATCCTATCTATCCTATCTACCCTATCTACCCCTATCTATCCTATCTATCCTATCTACCCTATCTATCCTTATGTACCCTATCTACCCTATCTATCCTATCTATCCTATCTATCCTATCCATCCTATATATCCTATATATCCTATCTATCCTATCTATCCTATCTATCCTATCTATCCTATCTATCCATCCTATCTATCCTATCTATCCTATCTATCCTATCCTATCTATCCTATCCTATCTATCCTATCCTATCTATCCTTTCCTATCTATCCTATCTATCCTGTCTATCCTATCTATCCATCTATCTACCTACCTATCTATCTGTCTGTCTATCTGTCTATCTATCTATCTATCTATCGATTTATCTATCTATCTATCTACCTTTCTTTCTTTCTATCTATCTATCTATCTATCTTTGCTTTTATAGATCTATACATCTATACATCCATCTAATTCTATCTAATTCTATCTGATTCTGTTTGATTCTATCTGATTCTTTTTAATTCTATCTAATTCTATCCAATCCGATCCTATTCTATCCTATTCTATCTTATTCTATCTTATTTTATTTAATTCTATCTAATTCTATCTAATTCTATCTAATCCTATCCTGTTCTACAACTCAAGCTGTCTCTTATTCTATCTTATTCTATCTGATCAATTCTAATTCTATCTGTTTTATTTTATCTATCTATCTATCTACCAACCTATCTATCTATCTATCCTATCTATCTATCTATCTAACTCTTTGTCTGTGTAATTAACTAATGAAAAAGCTAGCTATCTAACCTTTCTAATCTATCTAGTCTAGTACCTTGCTTATAGAGGATATACGGCTTTTTGCACATGACGGATTAATAACTGGCCATGTGTTAGGCAAATGCCAAGCAACGCCGAGGAAGAGCAGGCTCAGTGGACTTGGTGGATTTTGCGGATTTGGGGTATTGAAATTACAGAAATGGTATTGAGTTTGCCGCAGTTTGCCAGAGCCACAAAACATATGGGGTTTTCTCGGCTATATTCGATGCAAACTTGATCGCAATGTGATGCATACTATTGAAAACTAAAGCTCCGCGATCCAAGGTCGATGAGGTGGTCAAATGATCTTGCCAGTGTTCATTCATATCAGTTGCATCCGGTTTAACTGATTCATATTGGTACCAGATCCAGTAGCAAGTCAAGTAGGCCTCTGTGAGAAGGTGAACAATCAAACGCACACTAACCAGACGATGGCGCATTTGTGCTCGAACATGCTAGCATGTTTTTCCCTTTTTTGTTTTTACATGTGTTTCTAGACGTTCCTAGAAACTCTCTGTTCTTCCTGTTTTTGGTCATGCAGAGATCCACATGCAAAAGTGGAGACGGAGACTCTCAGAGGTTCTAAAAGGATCATACGGTAGGAGCGGGCTGGGCGGCATCTGGGCGGCTCGGTCGAGACACTACTGCCTTTGAGGTCGTGTGAAGCCAGGCGTGTGCTACCATTTAGTGAATCTGGGCAGCAGAAGGTAACTGGCGCCCGATAGTTGTCCCATGTTCCCATCTTTTTGGGACATAGCGAGTGGTCCCGAGGTCTCAAATGCAGTGATGACGGCCCAAAGTTACCCTGCCACAGATTCAACATAATCATAGTCTTGTGATATGTTGTGCATAACGGAATGTGAGAGCAAGGTTCATATCGCCCAAATACACTCTTCATCCTTGTTCTATCTTGTCCCCATTTGTCCCCATAACAGGTCTGGCTCATGTCACATATATCATGTGGGCACAGGAATGTGCGTCGATGGCGGCGAATGGAGGACTTCGAGAAACCCGAGATGCTCAGGTCAGTATTGCCCAGGGAGACCCCACCCCACTGTCAGTGCCACTGCCTACAGGGCCTAAAGCTTCTGGATCTTCTGGTTTTCCATAGTTGTTATTCCTTTTTCATCCTTTTTCATATATAACTATAACCCATGGGTGAATGATGTCAAGAGCATGCTCAGAGGTGTAGTCAGCGCAGTTTTTCCCCACTTCCTAATATCTTGTGTAGGCGCTCAACTCGTCTCGCTTTACGCAAGAACTACTTAGTAAGTCTTCAGTGGCAGATTTCTTGAGGGTCATGTCCGAAATCACCAGTTCGGGTGACAAGAAACGAACAGGTTTTGCCTCTGCACACTATTCAAGCTCGTGAACGGACTCGAACTAGCGAAGTCTTTTTCTATGTGGAGATGTCAAGCTAGCTGTGTAGATTCTGAGTGAAGCTGGTTGGGTATATAATATATAATATATAATGTATAATATATAATATACAATATATAATATATAATATATAATACATAATACATAATATATAATATATAATATATACTATATAATATATAATATATAATATATAATATATAATATATAATATTTAATTTATAATTTATAATTTTTAATTTTTAATATATAACATATATTAATATATTAATATATGACATATACTATATAATATATAACATATGATATATGATATATGATATTTGATATATGATATATGATATATGATATATGATATATGATATATGATATATGATATATAATATATAATATATAATATATAATATATGATATATAATATTTAATTTATAATTTATAATATATAATATATTAATATATTAATATATTAATATATTAATATATTAATATATAATATATAATATATAGTGTATAACATATGATGTATGATATTTGATATATGATATTTGATATATGATATATGATATATGATATATAATATATGATATATAATATATTATATATCATATTATATATAATATTCTTAGATTATTATATATTATTATTGTTTTTTCATGTTGGCCATGGCCACGGCCAGGGTGCCTCTCGACTCCCTTTGCTTGAGGGTGTCGCTGATGGGTTTGGGTCATCCGGCGAAGATTTTGGCCAAGGCCCGTTGTTTTCCATGCGCCGCGCAATTTCTGAGCTGGGCCACTTGTGTTTGTTCCAAAGTTACCTCGCTGTGCATTGGATTTACTACACGCAAACCCATGCAAAGGCATGATTTAGTGCAGGTTTACGCAAATGAAGAAGCTTTATCAGCAGCTGAAGCTTTGGTCCAAATCTTTCAAAGTGAAGAGACATGAGGTATATTCTTTCCTGTTCAGTTGTAGCCTTTCTTATTCAGGAATTGGACGGGAGCTATATTCAAGGCAACCTTCAGATCCGGACGAGTTGGATCCTTTCTTCTCCTTGAATGTGGCCCTCATGGGTTTTGTGATGTTGCAATTTAATGTAATTTACGTCTGCAATTCACAGACAAATTTGCTGAAGACACATGGAACACAAAGAAAAAGCGTTCAAGACATGTCACTCGTACTGCAGTACCTTTGTACTGCATCCCATGGAGCTAAAGCCCAAATCAGCTTAAAGCCGACCCTTTGCCGGTGAATGCCGGAGATTTTATTTGAAAACGTTTGAAAGCTTCAATTTCTCCGAATGAAGGATGGCACTGCCGAGTTCAACAGGAGATCTGAAGGGTACCGCCGCACAAGCTGTCGACAAAGACTTAAAAACAGCCGCTGCTGGCGCTGCCAGCGCCAGTCAAGCGATGGACTTCCTTGGTGCTCAGAAAAAGCAGACCATTTCCTCCCAGTCCATCTCAAAGGCATCAAAAATAAAAGTGTTGGTACATGGCAAGACCCGTTTCGCGCAACAAGCCAAACGTGAAAAAGAGAAGATCCAAATCCAAACTGAAAAAGTCTCCAAGATGAACATCACAGAAGCCCACAATACAGCAAATGCAAAGACTCAACAAGAGAAGGATGAGGCAACCCAGTCAATTACCGCAGCTGAGCCTCCTATTGACAGCAACGAACATTTGCTTGCAGAAAGTGCTTCAAATCAGCAGATAGAAGGTGCTGATCAACAGGATGAGCAACAGCGAGAAGATGCTGCAGTAAAGATTCAGAAGGTGCACCGAGGTAATGCTGGTCGACAGCAAGTTTCAGAAGTGCGGGTTCTGCAGGAAAAGAAGAACGAAGCTGCAACAAAGATCCAATCGTTGGAGAGAGGGAGGCAATGCCGTCAGCAACTTGTTGCAGAGCAAGAGGAGCAGCAACAGCACAAAGAGTTTGCAGAAAGTGCTTCCAATCAGCAGATAGAAGGTGCTGATCATCAGGATGAGCAGCAGCGAGAAGATGCTGCAGTAAAGATTCAGAAGGTGCACCGTGGTAATGCTGGTCGACAGCAAGTTTCGGAAGTGCGGGTTCTGCAGGAAAAGAAGAACGAAGCTGCAACAAAGATCCAATCGTTGGAGAGAGGGAGGCAATGCCGTCAGCAACTTGCTGCAGAGCAAGAGGAGCAGCAACAGCAAAAAGAATTTGCAGAAAGTGCTTCAAATCAGCAGATAGAAGGTGCTGATCACCAGGATGAGCAGCAGCGAGAAGATGCTGCAGTAAAGATTCAGAAGGTACACCGTGGTAATGCTGGTCGACAGCAAGCAGAAGTGCGGCAGAAGATGCTGCAGGAAAAGAAGAACGAAGGTGCACCGTGGCAATGCTGGTCGACAGCAAGTTTCAGAAGTGCGGGTTCTGCAGGAAAAGAAGAACGAAGCTGCAACAAAGATCCAATCGTTGGAGAGAGGGAGGCAATGCCGTCAGCAACTTGTTGCAGAGCAAGAGGAGCAGCAACAGCACAAAGAGTTTGCAGAAAGTGCTTCCAATCAGCAGATAGAAGGTGCTGATCATCAGGATGAGCAGCAGCGAGAAGATGCTGCAGTAAAGATTCAGAAGGTGCACCGTGGTAATGCTGGTCGACAGCAAGTTTCGGAAGTGCGGGTTCTGCAGGAAAAGAAGAACGAAGCTGCAACAAAGATCCAATCGTTGGAGAGAGGGAGGCAATGCCGTCAGCAACTTGCTGCAGAGCAAGAGGAGCAGCAACAGCAAAAAGAATTTGCAGAAAGTGCTTCAAATCAGCAGATAGAAGGTGCTGATCACCAGGATGAGCAGCAGCGAGAAGATGCTGCAGTAAAGATTCAGAAGGTACACCGTGGTAATGCTGGTCGACAGCAAGTTTCAGAAGTGCGGGTTCTGCAGGAAAAGAAGAACGAAGCTGCAACAAAGATCCAATCGTTGGAGAGAGGCAGGCAATGCCGTCAGCAACTTGCTGCAGAGCAAGAGGAGCAGCAACAGCAAAAAGAGTTTGAAGAAAGTGCTTCAAATCAGAAGAAAGGAGGTGCTGATCATCAGGATGAGCAGCAGCGAGAAGATGCTGCAGTAAAGATTCAGAAGTTGCACCGTGGCAATGCTGGTCGACAGCAAGTTTCGGAAGTGCGGGTTCTGCAGGAAAAGAAGAACGAAGCTGCAACAAAGATCCAATCGTTGGAGAGAGGGAGGCAATGCCGTCAGCAACTTGCTGCAGAGCAAGAGGAGCAGCAACAGCAAAAAGAGTTTGAAGAAAGTGCTTCAAATCAGCAGATAGAAGGTGCTGATCAACAGGCTGAGCAACAGCGAGAAGATGCTGCAGTAAAGATTCAGAAGGTGCACCGTGGCAATGCTGGTCGACAGCAAGTTTCAGAAGTGCGGGTTCTGCAGGAAAAGAAGAACGAAGCGGCAACAAAGATCCAATCGTTGGAGAGAGGGAGGCAATGCCGTCAGCAACTTGTTGCAGAGCAAGAGGAGCAGCAACAGCAAAAAGTGTTTGCAGAAAGTGCTTCAAATCAGCAGATAGAAGGTGCTGCTGATCACCAGGATGAGCAACAGCGAGAAGTTGCTGCAGTACAGATTCAGAAGGTGCACCGTGGTAATGCTGGTCGACAGCAAGTTTCAGAAGTTCGAGTTCTGCAGGAAAAGAAGAACGAAGCTGCAACAAAGATCCAATCGTTGGAGAGAGGGAGGCAATGCCGTCAGAAACTTGTTGCAGAGCAAGAGGAGCAGCAACAGCAAAAAGAGTTTGCAGAAAGTGCTTCAAATCAGCAGAAAGGAGGTGCTGATCAACAGGCTGAGCAAGAGCGAGAAGATGCTGCAGTAAAGATTCAGAAGGTGCACCGTGGTAATGCTGGTCGACAGCAAGTTTCGGAAGTGCGGGTTCTGCAGGAAAAGAAGAACGAAGCTGCAACAAAGATCCAATCGTTGGAGAGAGGGAGGCAATGCCGTCAGCAACTTGCTGCAGAGCAAGAGGAGCAGCAACAGCAAAAAGAATTTGCAGAAAGTGCTTCAAATCGGCAGATAGAAGGTGCTGATCATCAGGATGAGCAGCAGCGAGAAGATGCTGCAGTAAAGATTCAGAAGTTGCACCGTGGCAATGCTGGTCGACAGCAAGTTTCAGAAGTGCGGGTTCTGCAGGAAAAGAAGAACGAAGCTGCAACAAAGATCCAATCGTTGGAGAGAGGGAGGCAATGCCGTCAGCAACTTGCTGCAGAGCAAGAGGAGCAGCAACAGCAAAAAGAGTTTGCAGAAAGTGCTTCAAATCAGCAGATAGAAGGTGCTGATCATCAGGATGAGCAGCAGCGAGAAGATGCTGCAGTAAAGATTCAGAAGGTGCACCGTGGTAATGCTGGTCGACAGCAAGTTTCAGAAGTGCGGGTTCTGCAGGAAAAGAAGAACGAAGCTGCAACAAAGATCCAATCGTTGGAGAGAGGGAGGCAATGCCGTCAGCAACTTGCTGCAGAGCAAGAGGAGCAGCATTGGCGAAAAGAGGCAATCTTGAGAATTCAAGGGGCTCAACGTGGAATGGAGTGCAGGAACCGAGAGGCTGCTGCCCTCAAGATTCAGAAGATACTGCGTGGGAATGTTTCCCGCAAGGTTGATTTGCAAAGGAAAGAAGCTGCGACAAGAATCCAGTCACTTGAGAGGAGCAGGCAGTGCCGGCAACAGCTGACTTTAGAGAAGAAGAAAAAACAGCAGGAGGATGCTGCAGTAGAGATTCAGAAGGTGCAACGTGGAAATGCTTGCCGCCAGACAGTTATTGTGGAACGGAAGCAAAAGGAGGATGCAGCAAAAAGAATCCAGTCTCTAGAAAGAGGGAGACAATGCCGGCAACAACTGGCCCAAGACAGGATAAGGCAGAAAGAGGAAATTGCTGCGGTCAAGATTCAGAAGATGCAGCGAGGGAATGCCTCCCGCAAACATGATCAACAAAAGAAGGAGGCTGCAATCAAGATTCAATCACTCGAGAGAGGGCGGAAATGCCGGCAAGACCTTGCTGCCGACCAGAAGAAGAAAAAGGATGAGGAGGCTGCTGCGGTGAAGATTCAAAAGGTGCAACGTGGAAAGGTTTCCAGAAGAGAAGCAGAGGTTGAGCGGGAAAAACGGAGAAAGGAAGAGAAGGCAAAGAGACTTTGCTTCCCAAAGAGAGGTGGCATCTCGGCTTTGTGCTCTTCAAAAAACGAAGTGCCTCAGAAACCAACTGGTAAGTCAAGCCGTTTGCGAACTTACCAGCTCTGTCACGCAGAGGCCAAGCGACAAACGCAAAAGGATGGTGCGCTGCAGGCACAGCCCAAAGGTCCCACTCGGCCAGTGGAGCACTTCAAAGCATCAAAGAGTGTTGCTCGAAGTGTCACACCAGGAGGCAGCAGGGTCAGAACTCCCTTCACAGGCTCCGTCCAACGAAGTGCGACACCTGGCAAGTCAGTCAATGTCAAGGTTTCCCCGATGCAAAGATTTCCACCGCAGCCGATTGCAGCCAGTCCTGGAGTTCAAAAGCCTCCTCCAAGCAGCGCAACGCCTGGTAGAAGCGGTACGCCTGCTGGTAGAACAGCCACTCCTGCTGGTAGGAGCGCCACCGCTGCTGGTGGAAGTGTTGCGGTTGCTGGCAGAAGTGCAACACCTGGTCGCAAGAACTTTGCTAAGGCAAGGTCCTCCGATGCTGGAAGTACTGCATCTGTTCAGGATTTTGCCTCCAGTGTTCAAAAAATGCTTGGCTGCCAACGGGTAGCAGCAAGATTGGCACAGAAGCGACTTGAATCGCAGCAGTCGAAGAAGGAACTTGCGGAGCAACACACTTCGGCTGCCATTGCTATTCAGGCTTGTGTCCGCAGCAGGCTGGAACTGAGACGATTGGAGAGTTCGCACCAGCGACGTACGAATGCTACGAAGATTCAGGCCGTGTGGGCATCCTGCGACAATGTTCTTTCTCTTTCATAGAACAGTGAGTGCAGGTCGCACAAAGCATGTACTGCTTAATGATTTGACTCAAGATTGGCGGCCGTCGCGGAGTTGTCATGCACACCCTTCTGGACGGCATTGTTTCGCACCATTCAGACTTAGTGAAATATTGGAATGATTCCTGTGAACAGTGTAGAATGTGGTTAAGAAAAGAATCAAAACTGAACACAGTATTCTCATGATATTCTCATGTATCTCAAGTATTCTGCTTTCATTTAGATTATGTTTTTCAAGTCCAACGTCAAGTCAGACCATGTCAGACCACTCACCCTGAGGCCTGGTTCCGTGGTTGGAAGGGCAGACAGCTCTTCCGCTCCAGGCTGAAGGCTCAGCGGGCTCTTCAGGACTTTGACCAACAAATCATCCAGACCAAGAAGGTGCAGGACGAGGTGAAGCAACAGGTGAAGCATCTGATCTGCAGTTCCGTTGCTTTTTCATTTCTTTCTCCGATTTTCCAGGGTCTGGATGTGTTTGGATGATTTGATATTTTCGCAATGTTTTGGTCAGTTTGAGCCCAAAGATCTTCAAGGCAGTTGCCGCCATGCAAATGAAGTTGCCAACTTTGGCCATGTTTCACAAATCTGCGCAAGGCATGGAGCCAATGATGTGCAGCCGGGGTTGATACAGGAAGTGCTTGCAGGGGTGCAAAAACTGTGCAAGGCTGTGCATTTTGGGCCACTCTTATCAGTTGTTATGTCGAATGTGTTTAGAATCTGCACGAGACGCCATGATTGCGGGGCAATTAATTGGGGTAAGATGGGCTAAGGTTCATGATCGTTCATCCAAATTGTGTAGGTCCAGGCTTCCCAGCCAAGTAAAATTTCAACGCACCGTGGGCAGACTTTTGTTGCTGCCGTGCATAGATCATCCAAAAATATCAAAAACAAAAATAATTAGTATGGGATTGTAGTTGAAGTTGCCAAGATTAAACAGTCCTCTCATCAAAACAGCAGTAGTTCTTTGCGGTTCTGTTGTTTTTTTGCATTGGATGTAGACGTTCCCTGAAGGACAAGAAGGGTGGCTGCCCTGTCAGTGGCTTGGAAACCAATTAGCTCTGGAGAAGGCCTTGGAAGAGTCAGCGTTGTGAACTCTTGGGGCCGTTTCTCTACGTCTACGTGGTATGTTAGTGTGAATTGCTAGGGACAGAAAGACAGAGTCAGATCTGTTGTGTGGGTCCTATGTTCACATATTAATGTGACCGCTCTATGAATTTTCTTATGTCACTCCATCGTGTGCTTTGTATATATATTATATTATATTATATATATAGTCTCTTTTACTACAAAGTCCTCTTGTATTTGCCACTCAACAGTTCAATCATGCGCGTTCATATTCCATTTGCCTGGCTTGAGCACTTGAGCGCATTGTTCATCAAGTCAAAGCCAAGGTAAAGCTGCTACATCGTACGGTACATCTTACCAACAGCTCCACCGGACTGCGGCAAAAGCTTCCCCGAACCGTGGCATTCCGTTTGCGAAAAGTCCACACGCTGCGTCCAAACGAGCTGCATCCAAAGGTGCGCCTTCCAGGAGATGGATGTGATGAATTGCCACAGATGAAATCCAAAAACTGAGGACGTTTCTTGGCCATGTACACTCCAGGCTTGGTTCAGTTTCACAGCATTTCATGACTATGCGCAAGTGGAAGTCGACGGCCACGAGAGAAAACAGCTTGGGTGTGCTCCGTGATCGAGAAGACGACGGCGAAGAATAGCTTTCAGAAAAAGTTTTGCGTGATGCGAGTGCATGCACATGGGCTATGGAAATTCATGGAATATGGGACTAGGCCAAAGCACGCCAAGAAAGAGTCTTGATATATGACATATTCTCACGAGCTTTGTTCACACTCCATTATCTCAGAATTGATGAGAAGCTAAATGCAATGGCTTGCAGATCCTCCTGACTGACAGGGAATGAAAGCAATGTTTTCCAGGACTCACGGGAATGCACTTCATGCATGCCTGAGCCTTTTTGCAAAGCGGAGTGTTGCACAGACCGGATGAACAGCTCACCCGGCAGCGCGTTCAGCGCATTGTGCTGGCAGTGCAACGTTCTGCAGGCAATCACACCACCTACGGTCAGGGCCTTGGACTCCTTGGACCACATGCAGCTGCTGCATTTGATCTGTGGATTCTCCGCCGAGCTGCTTTCTGCCACTCAAACATAGGGTACCAAAGGGCCAAAGGGACTGCAAATTCGGTTGGTGGATGCATTTTCCTTGGGTGGGTCTGATATGCTTATTCCAGCTTATTCCAACGTATTCTAGTTTTATCATATTTTATCTATATATATATATAATTTCAATGTGTTTATTTCCAAGACTGATGTGTTCATGCATTCCCTCTTGAGAATTCCAGGTCCAAACATGCAATGTCTAGGCTGGCAAAATCCCATCAATGTGTGTATACCAGTATCAATTCTGCCTCGCATATGGTGAGATAAATGGTCAGCGCTGCAATTGTTTATCTTCACACCAGACTGCCGAGGATGCTGCAGTATTGTCCTCTTTACAACAGCTTGCCAGATTCTTAAAGTTTGGATGCGGTCGATCTCTTTGGTAGCTAGATGTTCAGCATGGTAGCTAGATGTAGCTATTTGCTGTTGGAGACGTGTTGGCGGAGCTCTTACTCGGCTTATTTGGCAGCGCTTCCCGATGCTTCCACTTGAGGTAAACAGTAGAAGTATTGTTTAATTGAAAAGACTTCCATAGAAATCCTTTTCGGCCATAGACTGAATTTGTTTACAGTTTACTTATCTATCTATAGGCGCTATCTATTTGACAGTCGTTGTGCATTCTACTGTACATGTTTTCTATGAAACGATAATGTGAACAATCCACCCAATCTGATGAACATCTCTAATTGTGATAATTGTTAATTTCATGATTCTTTTTGGGGAAATGCAACTTGCTTGAATTTTTTTTCCCTGTCAGATGCTATATTTTGGAAGGGAGATGAAGGTTGTTGCATGTTGCATGTTGCCATTTGTTGCCATTTGTTGCCTGTTTGCATCGCACTGAACCATGAAACACCAGGTGGAGCTCAGTGCAGTGGAGCTTCGGGAGAGACTTCGGTGGCATCAAGCAGCAAGTGTATTGCTTGGACAAAAAGATGATACGAGCAGGCTATATGTTAATCTATGTTACTATGTTACTATGTTCAATGATGTTCAATGTCAACCATTTGGCAATAGATTCTTCTGGAAAAAAAAACAATTTGTCAATTCTTGCGTTGCAGGCCTTTGAATACGCATCGACATGTTAATCATCAAACTGATAAAACATTGGATCCAAAATCAGGCACAAAACCAAATAATTACAGATTTGCTGAAATGCACTTGATCTCAGGAAGGTGGCAGCTGATGAAGAGATTGGTGCCAGGGGCTGGGACAAGGCGCCACAATATGCCAAGCACATCCAAGCACTTTGAGCATGGCTGATGGTAGCTGCAGGAATCATAAGGTGATCATTTGGTGATCACGGAAATCATGCCAAACTTCTGGATATCATAGCACTTGTGCCTAATAATCCTAATACAGCCAAGGACTCGACATAATCGACGTGATTGTCCAGTCCCTATAATTGACTTCAGGCATACTAGTCAAAGTGCCTAAATGCTGCGACAGTTGCCAAGGCCCAGAATTAGGCTTAAATTCTGAATCAGGACCCTCAAATAGAACACTCATGACTCATGCATCCCAATGCCAGTATTTGCAGAAACAGGTTTCGTGATTCCACTAAAGGGAGGACGGTCTAACGCATTCCAATGCCAGAGTTCATTCTTTTGCTGTGCAATGTCCAGGACGATCAGCAGCGGTTGTTGAAAGCAAAGCTGTGTCCTGGCAGTGTGTTGAGGGGATGGGAGGTGGCCGTGCAAGAAGGGAGCAGAAGAGACCTGCACGCTTCGGCTAGTCACGAATTGGAATTATCCACTCTATAGAGTCATGAAGCTGGGTGTCCTCAACAGTGATGCCATAAAGTGTCCATATTGGAGAGCTGAAAGCAGGACGTGATGTCCTTGTTTGGGGTGCATTGATGTCAGATGTGAATGAATTCATCAAATTGGACCAACATTGGCCAGAAGAAGACATGGTTGGCAAGTTAAGTCCTGCAACAGGCTATCAATCTACTACATTGACAACAAAACCTCCAGCGTCTCGGGATTAGGTCACGGGACACGCATACACAATCTACTTGTAGGCTTTTGATTTTTTTGTATCTTTTTGTATCTGTTTGTAAGGAATCTTTGAGGCGACTTCAGTCGCTGTCCGTGCAGCCTGCCCAGGCGCCTCACACCTCTGGGAAACCACTTGGCTCAACTTCCCGTGGATGCTGGTTGTGCCAAGCTTCTGGCAACTTGGAGTAAAGGTTTTTAGAGGATGCTCAAGGCTCAAGCTCCCAGGTAAGCGTTCCGAAAGCAACCATTTCAGACTTTGCAGTAGACCAATCTTCAAACCCAATGTTTTAGGTGCAAGAGCAATGCGTCGTTTGGGCTGTTGAAAGACCGCTCCCTCTGTTGTAGTCTCCAAGTTTGTAAGCATGGAAAGCAGTGCAAATCCAATGCAAAGCAGTTTTGCCACGGGGAAAGGTGGCTCAGATGGGCCTTGCATGATGGAAGTGAATCCATCTGAATACACTGCCTGGGTTCGCTGGTCAGACATCGCTTAGTCACTGCAGCGATGTTTGTCAAGGTACTGGGTTGCATTTTTGGCATTCCTCGTGACGTTTGTACTCTTGCAGCAGCACTGTCAGTGAAGTCGCCATTTGCAGCTTTGACCTCAGAGATTGTTGGACAGTGGCTGGGATTCCCGGTATTGCGGGCTTTTCTAAAGTATGACCTGGTCCCCACCTATCCCTCGATGGTAACCCCGCCCCTGTAACCCGCACTCCCCACGCAAACACTACCACCCTGGTGGCTGCTGCATGCTGCTGCCATCCCTGCCGTTATTGATCATTGTTGCCTATGCTAGCTACTCAAACACTGTTTGGCAGCGCGCAGATCTACTTGCTATATCGACTAACTACCTAGATACCAGGCACTATCTTGTATAGTGTATATATATATATAATATTATATATATATACGTATATTTACATATACGTAGTATGTATATATATATATATTATATATCTACTTTCTACCTAAATATGCTGGTGATATAGCAGCTGCATACTAAGAATGATAAGGATGCCAATTTGCCAGCTGTATACCAGCTACGTACTAACTCACTACCGACTCCAAGTACCGATATGCTAGCTATATATGTATATATACATATATATACATATACATATATACATATTATACATATATATATATATATACATATATACATATACATACATATATATATACATATATATATATACATATATATATATATATATATTTATTTATTTATTTACATATATATATATATATATGTCAATTATATATGTATATATATATATATAATATATATATATATTCATAATTATATATATATATATATTAATTAGCTATATAAACATACCCACTTCTTACTAACTTACATACTACCTACTGCATACATTCTAGCTGTCTACCAGTTGCGTAATATCTTCACTACTATAACCCACTGCCCAATGCCTATGCATTTTTTAAAGTTTTACACAACTACCATCAACTAACAATATTAAAGCAAGCTTCTAGTATCACAGAACTCAACCCACATTGCCCCCACTACAGCCACAGCCAGAGAGGGTAGGGGGCCATGAACATTGTTGGATGTTGTTGGGGGGTTGCAAGGGTCTGATGTGATTTCAGTTGGATGGGGACCGATACAAGCTAATACTGGCCCTGTCAGATGCAAGTCCCTGCAGTGCACACAGCACAAGGGTCAGCACAAGGGTTTGCAAGGTGCCGAGTGATTGAGATTCTATCCAGTGAATTCCATTTATGTATATCGCCAAGGTCAATGCAGATGGTAAGGGCGGCGGCAAAGGAGCGAGTGAACAACGAAAGGCTCGTCTCGCGTGTTTGACGTGTCAGCCGTGAGACGCCTTGACTGCCTATTTTGGTGAATTGGCAGATAAAGAAGCTGTGTGCAGATCCTTACGATATTTAGTGGTTGTTTTGTCGATTGTTTCTTACATTTCCTGAAAGGGAGAAACAAAATATTTCATTTTTGTAACTTTCTGTTTGGCTTCCAATCCCCTCTGATGTTGCATGTTTAAGCTTGACTTGACTTCAAAAAGCATCCTTCAGGATGTCCTGTGATATTGGGTATTGGGATTTCGTCAAAGCCATCCACAGCCAGTCTACTTGAAAGCATTATTTGTGCACCTGCCAGTTGGAGTTCGCTGGAGACCTGGAAAGTGACCAGTTGCTCTTGGTGACGCTTGACTTGAGCAATGGCTCTAGCAACGTTTCTACTAGTAGCAACGTTTGGCTGTTTTGCTTCCGTATGCTCTGGCCGTTCGGTGCAACAAGGAAACATGACGCCCAAAGCAACACGCAGAAGTCAGGGATAGTCGTGGATAGTCAGGGTATGAAGCTCGCAAAAAGAAGAATTGTGTACGCAATCCCGAACTTGCTTGCAGGACGAGCTGTTTTTGTTTTACTTATTCCTCCCGCCCTTTTGGCTGTTGCTCCAATTAACTCAACCGCTGAAGGAAGCTTTTCGAACGCTGGGAACAACTCGGTCGACATTCTCAGCAAGCACGATCATGGTGTCGTGAAAACGGCTGGGTTCTGAGATGTTCTGAGATGTTCTGAGCCTTTTGCCATCCTTTGCTGCAACATCAAGTTCATGGAGTTCATGGCCATATTTGGCCGTATAACCATGTTAAACCACCCTTGACAGTCACCCGTGACAGTGCTAGGAAACTCGAAGTAGACCTTCAGTTGTGCTTTTTCCTTGCACTGCTTTCCCCGAGGTCTAGACATTCAAGCGTTTGAAACAGCACCTTGGCAGATTGGTGGGGACGGTCCTCGCATGCCTTCACAGATGGCTCGTCGTTGGGGACTAAATTGGGGGCTTGAAAGTTTCAAAGGGCTGGATGACTATGGGCAATTTCTAGATGCTAAGGCTGTACTGTACTGTCTCGCATCCTGTGGATAGACGATAGTTCAACTACGGCGCCAACACAGATAATAAAACAACAAAACGCTGCTGCATTGCAAGGGGTCAAAGTTTGCAAGACACAATGCCGACATGGGTTAGATATAATGTGTGTTTCATATGTTTCTTTATGTGTTTTTTAGTAACACAAGAAAAAATCATCGTGACAGCTCAGCGAGCGGCAACTCCCCCAAAACTACAGCTCAAACATGAACCAAGTCAACAGAACTGAGATAACTTGTGCCAGCTCTCCTAACATCACACGCCTTCATTGTGATCTGGGCGGATTTTGCCCAACATGTATCGGGGTGACAGGCGCACGGGCACGCATCAAAAAAAATGACATGGTTGCTGTTAATTTCGCGCACTTGCTAGCTGTTTGAACCCAATTCTGCACAGTAAATGGTGCACTTCTCTGCTTACCCACCAGTCTCCCCGCGCGTACAGGGTTTGGTGCGTGTGCGGCCGGGAAAATTTAAAAGAAACGCGCGGATCATTTGCAGAGATTTTTGCTGTCACATTAAATTATGGACGTCTAGATGTGTCTTGCCGCGATTGGACAAGGTGTCTGACATGCGGCGCCACCTTCTTGGAATTCTGGTTGAACAAGGTGCTCTCCTGGAATTCCAGCATGAGTTTCAAAAGATCAACACATTTCAAGAGAGATAAAACTCCATGATCCCCATTTGAAAAGGGATGGATGGGGACGGGACCGGGTAAGGGCATGAGAATGCAGAGGTGACGCATCTCAAAAATAGCAGAATTGTTTGTCACTGATTTGCTTTGTTTCAGACAAGGCGTTTGTTCAGTCTCTGTCACCACATAATCGTGTTTTTCAGCTCTGAAGTTGGTTCTTGGAGAGGACGGTGTATTTTTCTTTCAGGCTATCATTTCTTGATCACCAGTAAGCAACCTTTTGCCAAACATGAAGTGATATCCCCGTTGTTGTTGAAGATTGTGGAATGTGGCACGATCCAATATCAGATCATGCCCCTTGGTGTCATGTCAAGATGGATGATTTCAGACCTGAGATTGCTACACTTGTAGCATTTTTTCAAGTCGCCCGGCGATGCATCTTGGGACAGGATTCGCCACCCACGAGCAGACGGAAGTTTCTGAGAGGTGGGCAGTGACATGCAGTGACTTTCCAAGACTTGTGAACAATTTAATCTATTGACAAATTGAACGCCTCATTGCAGATTTTGGTATGGGCTTGGATTTTGGAGTGATCGTGAGAAACACAACAAATTTTGGAGGTGGATCAGGTGGATCCCTGCATGGCCTTGACACCTGGCAAGTTGAACACAAATTACAGCTTTGAGCCGATTCTTCGCACATCAGACTCTTGCGACATTGTTTATAAGTTTGCAATGTTTAACATATAAATATATAATTATACATATATTCAACACGTATTTATGTATCATGATGCACTTTCATGACAGCTCATGCACATGTTGTTTCTTTGGAGGCCCAGCGCCAAGGGATCTCTAATGCCTGCGTGTTTGTCGAGCCTCATCCATGCAAAGGAGGATTGAAACTTGCACCAGAACAACGTGACTTCTCCAGTATCACAAAGTAGATATAGATGATTATTAGATGTAAACAGTATGTATACCTATTGCACATGTGCCATTGTACAATAGATTTGTGATGTATTTTGGTACTTGGATGAGGTGCATTGATTGTACAATATTCACGAGGCACACTTCATTCGTTGGTTCTGGTCGATCTCACAGCAACTCGTTGTTTGTAGCTTCGTGCGGAATGCGTTTGTGCACACCTAGTCGAAATATTGAGGCTTGATATACAGAATCCTCAGCATGTTCAATGGCACTAATTATGTCACTAGGGCACCTGCTCAAAGAAAGACATAGAAAGACTAGGATGACCTTCAGACATTCCTTTGGCATGGAGGAGTTTGACCGTCGACGTTTTCAGTTGTTACGAGCGCTGCTGTGTGCAGCTCTGTGGCCCAATGTGATGCTCTTGAGCCTAGAGCATGAAGGGCTACGGGGTGGGCAGATTCGCAGCCAGTCTTTTGGGCAGTGATAGTGTATACTACTTGCAAGTGACTGATACCGATACATGTGCTGTGTTTGTGTCTTGTATGCACTTTACGGTTAATTTTACTTTTACGCACACTAGCATATATGGTTATAGTTATGGTTATACGCATACTTATGCCTTTCAATGAGTGTACATGTATACATGTATGGTCATATGTACCAGATACCTTACAGATCCTTGCAGTAGGTCTTCGTGTAGGTTTGCATGGTTTGCATTCTACAGTATTTGCAACATTGTGCAACAATTCTGGAGGGAACACAGAGTGCAGGTTTTGATGTCCAGGTGTTCATTTGCAAATTGACGCAACTGGCCTTCGGTATTTACATTGATTTGATCATTTGATCATTTGATTGCCTATTCAGAAATTCATCGTGAGTCCATTCAGTTTCGCCAAGATCCATTTGGATCCATTTGGGAAATTTTGGGAATTCAATGGATTGAACGCATATCGAAACGCTTCATGGGCCTTCAGCTCAATGAAGAAGTCATCCTAGGTAGGGCGGCGTAGGTTCTTTAATTAATTAATGTTTTTGTCAGAAGTTTAGATTAAAGGGAAGGTGAGTTGATAATGCCATTAGCATGAGGAAGGTGAATTGCTCAACAAGTGGAATTGATTCCATAGAATGGTAAACCAGTGGAATAGATATTAGGTACGAATTGTGAACGGACCTGGTACAGGTGCATATTTTTCCAGGATGGTACTTCTTAGCTCCTGTTGTCACGTCATGAACAACCATTTCTCAGCCAGCATGCTCACTTCAGGAAAGACAATGGTACCCTTTTTGCTCCTCGGTGTATGAGTTGGAATGTTTGAGCGCACAATTAAATTTCATGCTGACTGTGTTGGAAGATCTGGAAGCTTCAGTCCTTCGTGTTGTCTCAATTGATTACAGTTGCAAATGTTCAAATCATTTGAAATTCGGTGGTTCTCACCTGAGGCTCGAAATTCCGGCACCCTGGGATTCCACACTTCGAGTGTATTGGCCTTGATGACGGATCAAAGCTCAAATGATGGCTCTGGCGCAGCTTGGCGTGTGGGGAAGCAATGGGAAGCAGGTCTTGTTGTTTTATCCCTTGCTTTAGTTCGGCGTACTGGAAGCATGGGGTGGTGTTGGGCGGGCATGATTGTCTACATTGTTATTCATGTATTTATAGAATACTTTACAGACGGTTGGACAAGTCTGAGTCAACTGGCTGCCGTACTTTTTGCTGATTTTTGCTGAAGGGAAATGTTGTTTCAGAAAAGCAAACAAAATGCATGGCATAGACTGAAAAGCACTCTCATGCCCAAAAAGTAATATTGTCATAATATGCTGTCATACTGTATGTTTCCATTTCGTTTTTAGGCATGTGATCGCTTGCTTTCAGTCTTTTGATTCCTCAATTGGATTCAATTGGCCCGTTTGGTGCATTTACCCCTCGTGCTGACTCTGCGTCACAAGTCTTTCTCGACTTTTTTGCGCCCTTTTGAGTGATCCTCCGAGAAGGCTGAGCTAAAATGCACCAGTTTTAGCTGCCTTAAGTGCCAATCTAAGGACTGGACTTGCCCGCAATGCCAGTTCTACAACTTTGCAAGTCGACAGGAAGGGATGGAAGGGGCTCTGGGAGGTTCATGGCAGCGACACTGCTGTTTGCACTCTTGAACCACTATTGAAATCTATTGAATCAATATGAGGTTATTGGACGGTTTTTGTGGCTTGCGAGGAGTGCAAAAGCTGCTGGGCCCCACGGTCCTCCTCTCCACCAAAAAGAAAGGTGCCAGTGCGGATGAATATGTTCCACCTTCACACATCTAGAATCTATTACACAATCCGCTAGAATTCATTTGGCCTAGCTTGGTACAAAAACCCAGCTGGATGTGAAGAACTGCCCGTTGCTCAATAGATGCTTCTTAGCTGAATGACAATGAAAGTAAACTCTTGTCATCTCTTGTCCCTGCTTCAGTCTCTTCCAAGGGACTCTCCTTGAAAGTCGTCTGATTCTTTCGCATCTTTTCGCATCTTTCGCCACTTCGTCCTTCCCAGGTCAGGCCGCCACAGCATCGGGCATTTATGCCATTTGGATGCACTCGGGAATCCAGCCGGCTCACTGCCACCCGTGTTTTTTGGGAACGCACAGACGATCAATATATTGCACTGATACATTGGGGTCCTGAAGTGGGTCTTGGTTTGGGCTGAGGCAACTTAGTGCTGGGAAACCTACAGGAGCCAAGAATGATTTTGCTCCTGGCGGGGACTTTGAAGTTGAGTAGGGGATGGAAAATGTCACCACTATTACTTGGATCTTATTCCTGCGGTCAATTTGAATTTTCCGGAAAGCCAATGAAAGCCACAAGAGCCAAACGACGAAAGGCAACCAAAATTAGGTCAGTTCCACTTGATTCGCCCGCAAGTCAGGTTTTCCGAGAAAGTGCGCTCTCTTGGAAGCGGTTTCTTGGCACTGTGTTTCGGACATGAACGCCCAAACACCAGCGCAACGAAGAGAAATTTCTGACGTCAGATCTTTTGGTGCAGTTTTGCCCCATCTCCATTAATTAGCTTTCAATAGTTTCTTCATGATGCTTCAACCTGGTTCAACCCCATTCTGCAGTCAAACAAGCTTAAAGCATACTGTAATTAACAATAATTAACAGTATACTTCACAGATTCATGAAGGGGTCCATCGCGAGCCATTGACCGCACGGAAACTTAATATATATATATATAATTATATATATCCTCACTAAACTTTATATAGAGACCAAGAACCTGGGACGACCAATGCCCATGCGATCTCCTCATCCCTTGTCCTGTCAAGGTTCAAGATCTTTATTTACACACATCGCATATTTTCAAGAGGCAAAATATGGTAAAATGATGCATGGAACATGTTTTGGCCGGGGGGTATAACTTTGAAGTAGATGGAGAGAATACCCCTTTGTCAAAGGGTGCAATCGGTTCTGTCTGTTGTGAAGGAGATCAGCACGGCAGACAGACATGTCCTTTCTTGGAACATGGAAAGCAGAGACACACTGGCTGCTGAGCAAGGTCCAGGCCAAAAGGCGCAGACGCTTTGTCGCGACTGCTGCGGTGTTTCTTTGAAGGCATTGTTTTTGATCCTCGGATTGCATCTATGAGTGCTGCAAGGTAAAAGATGTGGGCAAACCTTATATCATATATGAGTTCTGGCCACAAGGCTAATGAACTGAGAATATGTACATGAAAGTGTAAGTAGTCCTGCGTCGCAACCTGACAGATATGGGTTGGAATGGAATTCAGTGGTCCGTTTTGCTTTCTTTGCACAGCATGAATATTGCTACCAGATGCTACCAGGCTGGGCCATCGAGTTGAAGTTGACTTTCTCAAAGGCCCGTGGACCATGTCAAACTTTGTTCCCACTGTCCCCGGTCCCTTGTCCCCGGTCCCCTGTCCCCCTAAAAAATTGACCCTAAAGGATCCTAAAGGTGTGTATCCAATGGAGTCCAATGTGTTCGATGTCCTGTCTCTTACCTCTACTTGTTCCCACTGTCCCCGGTCCCTGGTCCCCTGTCCCCGGTCCCCTGTCCCCCCTAAAAAAATTAACCCTAAAGGTCTTTATCCAATGGAGTTAACCCTGAAGGTTGAAGTCCACATCTCAAAATGTCGTCCTAAGTGAGTGAAAAAGTCGTCCTAAGTGATCTTTTTTTTGACCCTAGTGGGACGATGATGCTGCAGTGATTCACATTTGCTCTACTGGTAGCTGCTAGCTTCTAAGGCAGCATGAGATTTCAATCTGTCCCGCACATGGAACCTGTGTCTGAGCCTGTACCATGCGTTGATCAACTTTACAAGTCATGCACAAGAATTGTTTTAACTGTGTACTATACATTCTGATTTCACAACCTCAATTTTGTTGCTGGCCTGGCCTTTGTTGACGCTGGAGCTTTTCTTTGTGATCTTTTTGTTGCCAATTGGGCGATGTGCGATTTGTGACTTGTTCCACTTATGGTCCACATCGGCAGGCAGAATGTCTATGGATGGCTGGATCCACTGTCAGGCGCAAAGGGGAAAGAATTATGCTTCATCATGTTGGACAATGTTGGACAAGTAATGATCAGTGTAGTGATGTGTTTCCTGTTTGGAGACGAATGCAGAAATTCCACGCAAACGGTTACATCTACTTTTTTGTGCTAGACGCAAGGATGAGAAAGTTGCCTTATTCATTCCTTTGTTGTCAGAATGAATTTCATCTCTCCGTTGTGTCTTTCCTCCGTGTGGGGGCGCGGGGAGACGTCCTCATTTACCAGGCAGCGCCCCGCGATGCTTCAATGCTTTTAGGCATGCGACGTCGTTTACAGGACTGAGGTGCTATTGCAAATATGTACGAAACATTACGAAACTATTTCCCAGACTTGAGATTGCACCTTTCTGGACCGCACCAAATCGCACCAAATAGCACCAAACTATCTTCCGAGCGCAACTGGAAGCAGCCCCCCCCAGCATCACTGACGTGTTTGACATTGGTTTATTATTGGGCGTGTCAGGGCCTCGTTCGATGGGGCTTGAAATCGAAATCCACGGCCGGAGGATGTCCTCACCCGCCGATTGGCCAGAAAAACTGGTCTCTCTGCAGAAGATGTGGAGGTCGCAGTTCCCGATGTTCCCGTCTCATGTTCATCATGTTAATGTGCGCTGGTTTGTATCGAAAGCTGAGGGATGCCCCTTCGTCATCCTTGTTTGCATGTTGTACTCGTACATACATTAGCTCATTAGCTGTCATTAGCTATCATTCGTTGCAAAGCATGTCAATTCTCAATTAGTGGGCAGTCTGTAAGCCAGGAGGTGTTCGCAATAGCTGCAAGATTGAATCCATGACCCAGACAATTCAAACAAGTTTCAGTGGAGATGAAATCTTGCTTTGCATATGCGCGCCACATTTTCGTTGCGAAACCAAGGGTCTCAGCATACCATGACTTGGTTTGCAATCTGGTATCCATGAAAAATCAAGGTGAAAGACCATCCACTCGAGCACTTGATTTCGTTCTTAGGATAATCAATTATGTACAGCTGATATCAGCTGATAACCGATGACCAGGTGCATGGAATTTGTTTGTTGAAGCATTTTGCCAACGGAGACATTGCAGCAACCCCCGCTGTGCTAGGTGGTAAACGTGATGACCCAGATTCTCGTTTTAGACATTGAAACATAGAAATTGAATAAAAGTATCAGTTAATAATAATATTAAGAGAACAACCTGGACTTTATTAGTTAGTAAGATCATGTAAGAGCAATCATTTACTGCTTTGCTTCGTCGACTCAATTTCGGTGGTTTCAAAAGATGCAACAAGTGGCAAGTGGAATTGTTTTTTTGAGGAATTTGAAGCTGAACTAAAATCTCGCCGAAACGATAACCAAAATTTACAACTCCAGAACTTGGCAAAGAGACAAGCTTGATTTGACCCCATACCATTTGCTTATGAAGCAGAAAAGTTGGCCGAGAAAGGGAGGCTTCGGGGTCGCAAGCGGCAGTGGTCGGCCGCATAGGGTCTTCCCCTGATATTCCCAAACTTGAAAGTCTAATTCTGGAATTTCGAAATGATTAATATATTTTCCTTAAAACTTACCTTGCTACATGGAAACAGTATATAAACACAAACTGCCAACTTGGTACAACGTATCAAAGCAGCGGGGTTGAACAAGACTATATATTGGTTGACAACATCCGACAACATAATTTCTAGGGAAAAATTATATTCGATATTTTGAACATAATTCTTTTTCCAACCAATACATACCCTGACTATCCCTGATTGATCAACAAATATGGGTTAATATAATTAAATAATTTTGGTTGAATAAATTAAGAATTTAATATTTATTATATTTCGAAATGGAATTGGAATAATTAAATTTGGGAGGAAAAACAATATTTAATTAAAAATATAATTAATTTGATTAAAATTTATACGATTAAAAAAAAAATAGAATAAAATTTTAAATTTTAAAAAATATTATTAATTTAAACAAAAAATAAATCTTTAATGATTATGGAATAATTTTTTGGTATTATAATAATATTGATAATGAATTATTTTAAATTATTTTAGGTTTGGGGAATAATTTTTGGAAATTATGTTTTAGGAATAATTTTAGATATTTGGGTGAATATTTGTTTAGAATAA